GATGAAAAAGAAATTCTAATATAATATAAAAAATTCATTAAACTTTTCGAAAATCTATAGAATTTGAAGGTTTTATCAAAATATAAATCTTAGGATTATAAGATCAATTTCAAAAAGGGATTTATATTCTTTGTTAAAAGTTGAAATTATATAATTTTAATATTATATAAATATAAAAAGAATACAAAATTAAAATTGAAAAGAAAAAATAGATTAGAAAATCCAAGTTCTTTTATATATTTAATATATTATTGATATTCAAGAAAAACGATCCAAATAATTAGTTTTATAAAGATTATTGTTAAATTAATAATAAAATAATCAAAAATATATATCTAATACTGAAAATTTAAAAGTTTAAAAATAAATTGAATAGAATAATAATCTATATGAAATTAAATCAAAAAATATTTTCAATTTGATATAAATAAAAAGGATTATGAATAAAAACAATTTTATTTTATTATTAGATTTATAAAAATATATAATTATATTGTTTGGATTAATTAATATATCAATTATATATCAATAATAGAATAATAAAATATTCAAAAAGTTCAATTTATTTATAATTTGTTATTTGAATGATATTTTAATTTTTTTTTAAAAAAAGAAGAAATATAAAGGATATATATTGAAAGTATTCAAAGTATTTAGAAAAGTAGATTCAAGATTCAAATTATCGAAATATAAGTTTAAAGTATAGAAGGTAATATTTTTAGAATATATTATTTAATTAAAACAAATAAATATAAATCTTAAAAAAACAAAGAAAATAAGGAATTGAAAAAGATTTAGGAATATTAAGAATATATAATCTATATTAGGATTTATCAATTTCTATTAAATATTTATAAAAAACTTTTTGAAAATAATAGAACCTTTTATCGAAATAATCAAAAAGAGAATAACTTTTATATAGAATAAAAAGATAAAATAGGTTTTCTAAGAAATCAAAGATAGATTTATAAAAGAATTTATTCTTTACAATTATTATAATAATCAAAAAAGTATTATTGAAATAGATATCTTTGATATTTGTATAATAAAAATTCATTTACAAAGAGATAATAATAGAAAATTATATTTTATTGTTTATTATTCAAATAAAATAAATAAAACAAAATAGAATTATAATATTTATAAAAAAGAATTTATAATTATTATAAAAATATTAAAATATTGAAGAATTTATTTTCAAAAAACTAAATTTCTAATAATCATTTATATTGATTATATAAATCTTTGAATCTTTATTATTATTAAGATCTTGGATAATTATAGATTAATTAGATAAATTAAAGAATTAATAGAATTTGATTTGATAATCAAATATATCAAAGGAAAAGATAATACAAAAGTAGATACTTTAAACAAATCATCAGATTACAAAAACGATAAAACTTATTAGAAAACAATGATCTTGAAATCTTTATTAAATGAAGATCTTATTCCTAATTTAACAAAAATTGTTATTATAGAAAATAAATCAATAAAGATTTGAAAGAATAAATTTGTAAAAATATAACAAAATAAAAAAGATATTAAATAACTAGAATTATTAATAATTATTGAAAGATTGTTTCAAATAAAGAACAAAATATAATTATTAAATAGTATCGTTTTTGAATATATTATAGAATAATATATATTATTAATTTATAGATATCAAAGAATATAAAGAATATATTTAAGAATCAAAAAGCAATATTGAAGTTTAGGATTCTATAATATAATTAATAAAGTAATCATTAAATATAATATTTGTATTAGAAATAAAGCTTTCTATTATATTCCTTATAGTTAGATAAATATTATCAAGATATTATTTATATTATAGAAATCAATATTATAGAATTTTATAAATTTATTATCAAAATCTAAGGATTTAATAATAAAAATAATATACAATTATCTTTTTATTATAATAAACAAATTAATAAAGTATTTGATATTTATATTATATTAAATAATATTAATTATAGAAATACTAATCTTTATATTTCTGAAAAAGATTATAATAGTATATAGATTATTAAAGAAAATACTTTCTGATAAAAATAAACTCTTTATATCGAAATTTTGAATTATTTTAATAATATTATTAGGAATAAAAAGAAAAATGTTTATTATATTTTATTTATAAATCAATAAAGAAAACAAGAGAATAAATCAAATTATCAAAGTTTATTTTCGATATTATATAAATTATTAATAAAACAATTAAATAGAACTTTTACTTTTAATATAATTTGTATATAATAATTCAATATTAGAAATGATACAAATCATTCTGAATTATATTAATTATAGATATGAATTGATTGTATATTGTAAATTAAGGATTATAGAAATAGAGAATCAATTTGTAATAATATAAACAAAAAGATTCAAAGAAGTTTATAAAGAAATAATAACAAAATTGAAATTTGTTATTAAAAGAAATATATATTATTATAATCGGAAATATAATCAGAAGTTAATATTAAAAGAAAGAAATAAAGTTTATTTATTTCGAAAAAATATCGAAACAAAAAGATCTAGTATAAAATTGGATTATAAGAAACTTGGATTATTCAAAATCAAGAAAATTAAAAAACCTTTGAATTATAAATTGATATTATCAAAAAGTATAAATATACATTCAATATTCTATATATCCTTATTCGAATTAATATCTCCAAAAGTATCTAAAACTTTTGAAACAGAAATTATATTTACAAATCAAGATATTGAATATAAAATGGAAAAGATATTAAATTATAAATATATTAAAAACAAAATCAAATACTTAATGAAATAGAAAGATTATTTCGATTTCGAAAATATATAGAAATTTGAAAAAGAAATCAAATATTTAAAAAAGTATTAGAAGTTTCGTTGATAGAATCCAGATTTATTCAAAAAAAAAAAGAATTCATTGTTTTTTACAAAAAAGAATCAAAAGAATCGAATTTGTTTGTAGGAATTTTATTAAGGTTAATAAAGTTAATTGATAATTGATCAAATTGATTAAAGATTAATTAATCAAATTGATTAAATTGATTAAATTAATCAAATTGATTAAAAGAATCGAAATTAACAATAGATATCGAGGATATAACAATTTCCTTTTTTTCTTTTCTCTTCTTCTTTTCCAAAGTATTCAATTCATTAAGATATTTGAGATTTTGTTTAATCATCTTTCTATAATGATTTTACAAATAATCTTATTGTTTTCGAAAACAAAGAATTTTAATTATAATCTTTTCTTCTTCTTTACAAAATTTTTTCTTTTATTTATTTAAAGATTCCTAATCATTTATTCAAGGAATTTCTTTATCCTAATCATTTTCCAAATGTTGCTTTGTATTATAAGGAATACAAGATTGTATATATTCAGAATAACAAATCTTTTGTAAATTATTTAGAATTTTTATATAACAAAAATCTTTTATATGATAATAAATATATAGAATTATTTCGATATTAGAATTCTCGATTTCAATTATAAAACAGAATTTCTCTTTGTTTTTTCAATGAATTTTGTTAGATTGTAAATCATTTATAATAAAGAAAAAGATCAAGATATGAAATAATAAAAAATTAATAAGTTATATATTAATTATAAATAATTAAGGATAATATTTGATTAAAAAAAAGATAATATTACAAAATCATTTTATAAAGTATTATAAAATAATAATCAATTTATCTTTATAAATTTTGATTTTATTGAAAAGTAAAGCAATTTATATATAAATTTGTATAATAATTGTTTTGTATAATCTTTTTATCTTTAATAAACTCGAATATATAATCTGATTTTAATCATATAATAAAGCCTTCAAAAGTATAGATTTTTATAAGTTCTTTGAAGTTTTCAAAAGTGTAGACTCCTGAAGACTCTCAAAATGGATTAGTATATAATCAGAATAGTTTTATAGTTTAGAAGTTTTATACTCAATTTAGTTATCAATTAATTTATTTATATTCTAATTGATCTAATAATATATTTATTTTCGAATAAATAATCAATGATTATTAATCTTAACCTACAATTACCAATTATACAAAAACCTGAGGCAACCACTGCCTCGACCAGATCGTTACAATTTCATAAATATTAAAAATTAAATAAACAATAAATATATTTATAAATTAATTTATATATTTAATATTTTATATATATATATAATAAAAATTTAAAATTAAATATTTTTATATTATAATATTTTTTAAATAGATAATAAAATAATTAAATTTTATAAAAAATTAAATATTATAATTAGGAAAATAATAAATATAAAAATCATTATAAGAATTAATAAAATTTCTGATAATTAAACATTTATTTATAAAGAAAATATTAGAAACATAGAATTATTATAATCAAAAAAAGTATTATTATTATTATTATTATATATATATATTATATAATAACTCTTTTTATAAATATATAAATAATAAAATAATAATACACATCTAATAATATTATTTATAATTAAAAAACTTATTCAATTTTATTTATTTATTATAAAGTTATTAATAAATGAAAATTATAATTTTGATATAAAAGTGATCGGAATAAAGAGTAGATTAGTCTCATAAGATATTTATCCACCCATCCATCCACTCCCTCTCCTTCTTTCCTTCCTCTTTCCCCCTTCCCTCCACCCTCTTTCCCTCTCCTTTCCTTTTCCCTCTTCCTCTCCTCCCTCTTCTCCTTTTCCTAACTCTTTCCTCCCTCTTTCCCCTTCCCTTGCCTTCCTTTCCTCTCCTCTCCACATACGCATACGCGTATCCATATAGCCTGCCAGCCAGTCAGGCACAAACCAACCATATACTCGGGCCGAAATTATAGGTGGAGTCGATTGAACTGGACGGGACTAGATTGAACTGGACTGGACTAGACTAGATAGATAATTAGATAGATGCAAGATCTTATATTAGAAAGATATAATATGATATACAGACATGTTCACCAAATCTTTCAAACATAATACACAAAACCTCAACTTCGAGAGAAAATAAGATTATTATTGCATTCAATGAATTCCTTCATGGATTCATTCTTCATCTTCAATCCAAATCCACCATCTCATTCCTCACCCACCCCCAGCATAGATACAAAAAACCAGTTTTCGCTCCCACTGTGCTCCCACTCCACTTCCACTCCCAACACACATTCCCATGAACATAAACAAAAACATAAAACACAATAAATAATCTATAACTTAACCCACAAACCCATAACCATCCATCCCCTTTCCATTCACCCGTCCATCCATTCCTTCCTCCGATCCATATAAATATGTAACCAACCACCTTACTACCCCCCTTACCCATCCATCATCATCCCCTTAATTCCACCCTCCCAATAAATCCAATCCCCAAGTAGCGACAAGGCCAAACCAGGCCCATACACTTAATCAAATCAATATAAACACAAACACCATGCTTCCGAGTCAATAAGGCATCGATACCATTCATTCATACCATCCATCCCTATATCTTAATTCAAACTCCCCTTCCAACCAAGAAAACGCCATGAACCCCAAGGACCCCAAGAACCCCAAACCTAGTCATCCATTCATGACATAGGTACGTACACCTGAAATAAAAGGTATCGCTCAAAAACGCCGTTAATGCATTCCCTTCCTTTCCCTCACGCTTTTCATCTTTGAATCGCCAACCTCGAATAATTACTTCCCATCACTTCTCATCTTCATAAAAATGCATCGCATCGCATCGCATCGCATCCATCATCAATGATGCGCGAATCACTTTTAAACACACGATAATAATCATCGTGCTTTCAGGTGCAGGTAAAATAACTCCTCTCCAAAAACAACGACTTATCAATCCGAAACGGCTCCTGCATCAATAACTTCAGATCCATCCGCTGCATTTCCTCCAGTTCTTCCTGATTCCCATCCTTCCATTTCATCTCTTCCATCCTCCTTGATTAAATCAAGTAAAACCAAACTATTTTTCTTAATTCTCTCAGGTCTATCCACAATTCCTCTCTCAAGAATGGTAGCTTCAGCTGTTTTGGCCCAAATATCATGTAAATCGGGGATATTTTCCATCAACAACCTAAGTTCTTCTCTTCCTAATGGACGCATCGGTGGACCTGCTGAAAGACTAGTTCTCCCTACCATACTGTCGTCTGATGTATTCCGTCTGGCGGCTATACAATTAGGTTTAACACAAAACCATTCATTGCATCTTGAAGAATCATGACCCGAGTTGTCTAGTGGATGTTGAGCCATAAGTTGTGGAGCCTTCTTTCTTCCCAGATGAGTAAATTTTGACATCTTGGATTTTGGTGTAACGGCATTAGGTTCGACAATAGGCAAGCGACTACTTTGTAAAAACCCATACCATTGATCGACAGCTGCTCTCCTCGCATTATATCCTTTCGTTTCCCAAAATCTTTGAGCTTGTCTTAATCCTCCTACGGTCAAGATGGTCGCATAAACTTCATCGGGTGGTCGGTCCTTCAAGTAACCTCTGATTGATCTTTCCACTCTTCCAACATACGAAGGAGGCCTTAATCGACGCGAAAATGATGACATGACCAAAGGAAATACTTGATGAACATGTAATAATGTTCTATCATCATACATACTCATGACATAAGATTCGAATGGGTTAAGCGTATATGGTAATCGTGTTAAAGGTGCCCCACGTCTTGCAAGGTGTTGAGCGTATATATTTCGGTAAGTTTCGAAGAAATGAAAGATTGTGAAGACGAGTGGGATTAATCGTTGACGCATTCGTTCATGTTGTGGTTGGAATTCTGCCTTTTGAGCTTCAGTTGTCCTTAAGAATATCTCCTTTCGAGCTTGTAGAGAGATCATGGTAGATAATTTCGATGCCACATGTAATCGATGCCATATTCCACCCAAGTAATGTAAATTCAGATTCCTAGGTTCCGGTAGAGGATATAATCGTATGGTATAATCGGGTAATGTATGTGCTGCATGATATCTGGCGATCGGTGCTTCATTCAATGTAACTAAAGCATGAAATGATCTGGAAACTTGTCGTAGGTCAAGTATTGTATGGATTGGTAGAGGTGCGATGATTTGAGCCTGTAATTCGTTTGGGAGTGCCAGGAAGAGATCAGAGAGTGTGACACTATGAAAGATTAGCAACTCATCCAACATTCATGAGAGAAACATGGCTCCTCCAAGGTTACCTTTGTCTTTCAATCCTTTCCACAATTAATCCCTGGTGAGTTTCGACAATTGATGGAGCTTTGTGCGTGATGTTAACTTTTGATCTTAAGGCACCTAACGAACCACTGAAACTTGGACGACGTTGTGTTCGTAATGAAGTGAGATCGTGTCCGAGTGAACGTTTCCTTTGATCGCTAGGTCTTAAAACCAAATTCTCATGATTCGCATTTCGTTGCCTTGATGGTAGATTGAATGTAGCTGCTTCCAATGGCGATGGCTCATGGTTAATGGTAGGAAGCGTCGAAGGACCAATTTGTGCATTGAATGTAATTCCCGTGGTGGATGGCGAAGCTGAAGTCGATCCATGGTCATTCTCATTAATCTGTCGTAATTTACTAAAGTACCGCTCTGAAGCGAATTCGGTGATGTGAGCTGGTTCCATCTCTTCCCCTACGTTTGGTCCCTTATCCCAATAGGTCGTAGAGTTGAAGTTCTTCGTAATTGATTAATCATATCAAAATCTATGGACGACACTCTTCGATGGGGAGAGTCGCCCGGGTTGAGAGGGTTGTGCTGAATTGGAATAAAGTTGCGGAAACGACGTCGCACGATTGGACCTCATGCATTATCGAAAATGCCGTCGAAAGTAATGATAAAGCCAACGGTGGCCAAAGAGGTTATCGAATGGTGGCAGCGTACCTTTGACCGGAATCGAAGAATTATCGGAGCGATGGTTGTTGAAGAGTGAAGCGAATGAGTAAAGGGACTCAGGTCGAATAATGAGGGATTGGGTGAGACGGGGGAGGGGGAGGATGGAGATAGAGATAGAGATAGAGATAGAGATGTAGTTGGAGTTGGAGGTGGATGGATGTACGGAGTACGAGGTACGAGTAAGGTTCTTGGATGGGGGTAGGGGTCTGGTAGTTTATAGTACAATTGGTAACGGACTAGTAACAGACTAGTAACGGACCAGTACAGACCCAGTACGGACGGGTATTTTTCAATTAAGAGCGAGATGATCCGGATTAAGAAATATTTCTCTATTGGGGGCCAAGGAAAGCAAAGTGTGATTTTTCGATGAATTGTGATGTGGCTCTTGACTGTTTGATGGACGTGACTCTTGACTGTGACTTGGGGGGCGGGGAGAAGATGTTGATGATGAAGAAAGGGAAGTACAATATCCGTCGTATTCAACCACCAAATCCAAATCAACCAGAGATTGATTAATGATTTACCCGGTCAGTGTGATGGCTGATTTGATAAGATAAATTCCGCTCAAATCGGAGAATCACCATGAAGATATTTCCTTTCTTTTCCTTTCCTTTCCTTTCCTTTCCTTTCCTATCAATCCTTTTCCCCTGTTTCTTTTTATATGTATTTTCTTCGTGAGGGTTTAGGGATAAAACGATAATCGTGGTAGGTCGATGGATGGATGTTGGACTTTCCCCCTTTGTCCTCGAGTAGGGATAGAACAAATGGAATGAGTAATAGAGTAGGTACAATAGGTAGAGTCAGCCAGGTAGGATGAACAGCAAACGAACGACACGAACGACACGAATAAAAATCTGGAACCTTTTCTGAGAAAAAGATTATTAAAGTGTGGCGGATGAGATTGATGAGATAGAGAAAGTCCTTCCTTCTAAGAAGAAAAAGGGTCGGAAAAAGGCAGGTATGTACTATGTATGTATGTATGTATGTAGTATGTATGTAGTATGACTAGGTAATTCGGTATATCGGGTGAATTAATGACATGATTGATTGATTGATTGGGAGGGATAGACACGTTTTCCCCTTGACGGGGTTTTTTTTATTTTCCTTATTCTCTTATTTCATTACATGAGTGAGTAACCAGAGTAGGAAGGATGGAGTAATCGCAAATCGGCAGAGTAGTAATACCGAATATGGATATTGGAAATGCGACCCAACGAAATAATAATGCAGCCGAGAGGTTGAAGGGAGGGAGGGAGGGAGGTAGGTAGGTAGGTAGGTTATTGATAAGATAATCGTATAAACAATTGGAAATAGAAGTAGCAAGAGAAGTAAGTGTTTGAATATATTTGAATTTGAATTTGAATTTGAATTTGAACATCACTTAACAGCTGATCTGATCTGATCTGACCTGACCTGATCTGATCTTCATCAATTGAAAGTAAAGATTAGTTTAGAATCAAGATCTCTCTCTCTCTCTCTCTCTCTCTCTTTAATTCTCCGTTTGAATCTATCTTATACGTATAAATATATATAACAATACAAATAAAAAACATATAATTATTTCATCTCGGTGTTTTACTTTGATATATTTATTTCCTCAATTTATTAACTCTCTCTCCCCTCTCTCTCTCATTCATATAATATAATATAATATAATATTCATCTTCTCTTCTCACTCTCATTCACATAATATACAACACTTCTCCTCTCCTCTCGTCTCCTCTTCTCGCTCATATAATATAAACATTTATCTTCTTCTCCCCTCCCTCCCTCCTCTCCTCCTTCCCTCGCTCACTCAATCGGCCCAATTATCCAACACATTCCCTCCAATTCGTCCAAATCCAAGCGTAAAAGCCGTAAACTTCTCACTCCCAGGGTCTTTATCATTTATTTCCGCCAAATCCTGTCTATATATACCCACTTTTAGTTTAGTGCCGAGAAATCGAAAGGGACCTTTCGGTCGGCGTCTTTATGGAGACTCCACACACACTTTTTTAGGTTCTCTCCACCGACTTTGAATTGTGGATCTTTTAAATCCGGTCCAAGTAATTGGAGAATGAGGAATGATGGAAGGAAAGGAAGGAGGAAAAGGGAAGGAAGAAAGAAGGAAAGAAAAGAAAAGAAAAGAAAAGAAGAGAAAGAAAAGGGATCATGGATGACGGATGACGGATGAATTATTGATGAGAAAGACTTGATACGGGAATGATGAAATTGATGGACTTGGTGGTATATGGAGAGTGGGGAGGATGAAGGAGGAGGGAGAATCGATACCGGTAGATCATCTACATTTATTTGTACCTAGGTAAAAAGGAAGGAAGGCAAGAAGTGGCCAAGTCGTAATCGTACTTACAGAGTCGAGAAGTACCTACTTACCATAAATCACATCTAGATTGACCAATCACGACAGCAATATCGTAGATTCGTAGATTCGTAGATTCGTAGATTCGTAGATTCGTAGATTCGTAGTTCTACATCAAAAAGCTAGATGATGATGATAATAATAATAATAATAATAATAAATCATCCCCCTCCATCTCCATCTATCAAAACATAACCAACATCTTTTTACCCAGGCATTATGTTATTCCTTATCCATTCCATCCATCAATCCATTCCATCCATCAATCCATCAATCCATCAATCCATCCATCAATCAATCAATCAGTACCAAATGTGCCACCCCCGGCTGTACCGAAAATAGACATGATGAATTCTTCCGTGATTATCCCCGAGCCCAATAGGATCAGCAGAATCCTCACTTAACATTATCAACGAAATCCATCTGCGAAGGATATTTGACCGAGATGATGAGATGATGAGATGATGAGATGATAGCTTTTTGCTCGGTAGTAGTACAACATGTAGGAATGAATCAATGAATCAATGAATCAGATCGGTCGCTTGCTTGCTTTGGTTTCATCATTTCTTCTTCTCATGTATAGAGAGATGGGAGTACAACATACATGACATTGTTGTTTTAATTGTTGTTCTACGTACATACATCCATCCATCCATCCATCCATACATACATACATACTTGTCTGGTCGGAAACATTCCTATTCATCGAAAGGATCGAAAAATAAATTTCATCGTCACTCCCGAATGATTTTCTCTTACTCTACTGTGATAGGATAATCATATCTGCCGGTACTTAATAGACTCATTTATTTGCAAGCTTACCAAACCCTAAAGTCCATGACATGTTATCCATTTCTATCCGATTAAATTTCTACAGTGCCTTGAATTTTGGTTTGACACCCCGTTCGTTCCTCATCCCATCCATCCATCCATCCATCCATCCATCTAATATGTCCGTAGGTATTCCCACATCCATCTCCTCCCCCTTACCCACACACGGAGAACCTTTCCCCAAACCCCCAAGCAAGCTATCGGCAAACTTACTTAGCACACACAACCCTACGTCCACATCTAGATGCTAGCATTATTTCACAAACTACCTAACCTACCTGTAACCTACCGAACTGAACTGAACTGAACATCCATCTAGACCCTCTTCTCCCCCATCCATATCAAGTTATCAACACTGCACGCACTGCACAGCTCCATAATATCTTCACGTCACGCATAATAATGGAGAATCCCTTCCCAAACCCACTCTTTCCCACACACATGACATTATTCCTAAAATTTCTACGCCGAAATGGGGTCTGGGGCAAAGGCAAGTGGTGGATTTCCCCATAATGATGTGAGATTGAGACCGAAGCCGAGGATGTTGAAAGCTTTGAAGCTACTACGACCGATGTGAAATTTATTAAAATGTTGGGTAAATTTCTCAACGTGGAAGGTTTTCCGGACATGTTGGACTCTGGAGAAATACAGGTTTCATGCTTGTTTGCTTATAAAGATTGAACCCTCAGACATGATGCGGCGACGCATATTACCGTTCATGCGATATGCCGTGAAAGAAGGTTGATATCTAGATATATAATACCTACTCCAATTCTTGAACCCTTTAACCCTTTCCCCATCACCTACCACCATTCAAGGAGAGCTACATGAACAAATACTATAATTGTAACATTGATCATATGAATTGATATATCCCAATTCTACCATTACACCTGTACAGATACTAATCTACGCCTCCTCAACCTTCCACCTTCCACTTTCCTCTTCTCAAGAATAATCAAGCAATTAGTGCTATCCATACTCCGTCTATTCCCTTAACCTCCAACTACCATCGATGATCTCCCACTAAATACAATATAATCCAACATACTATTGGAAATAAATCAATCCCCGCGGCATTAAATCTTTCTTTTCCGTTCGCTCATATTTTTCAATGAATTGAATTCCAATCAAATGAAATGTAACAACAAATCAAACAACTGGACCAAAAGAGAAAACTCATTCGGCCCTATTCTCAAACCTACATTGGATTTTCATCCGGAACAGCAAAACGCAACTGAGCGGCTGATTTACTTTTTTACCCTTTTCTAGCATCTGCTTTAGAGGTACTTAAACACTTAGGTAAGATGTTTAAAACGGATCAGGAAAATAATGAGAAGATCTTTGATATAATAATAAAACTTCATTATAAATTTTTGATCGAGGTTCTTGATCACTGGTGGAAGTTTTGAGGGGACATTGGACAAGCTAAAAGATGAAACGAGACGCGACTTTGCGTATGTAGTGTAAGTACGGAGTAGTGTAGGTGTGTAGGTGTGTAGGTGTGTAGGTGTGTACTGGACTTTTTTCCTTGGAGAAACCAAATGATAGGAAAAAAGGTAAAAAGAAAAGAAACCTTGGAATTCTTTAGAGTGAATGAATGAATCAGTTATGATGAACAATCCGGCCCCATTTCCTTGTAAAGTCATTGCCAAGCCATTTGGGGAAGTGGGATTTGATGGGGATGTGATGGGATGTGATGGGATGGATGGGATGGATGGGATGGATTGATTGTCAGCAAATTGATAAGTTTTCATATGCTATGGCTGTACGAGATTGAGTACGGAGTGTGAAATGAAACAATACCTAGTACTCGGTCTGAATACGATGTATGTACGGAGCATGTGTGTATGTATAATGTGATGTGATGTGATCGATGATGAACTCGGTGTATAATATCACACAAGTATAGCAAAGGATATATAACTTTTTATACTAGAGTAGTCGTATGAGAATGAAAAGATTTCTTTTCGACGGAGTATGATCAAGGTAAGAAAGATCTTGAGATTTTTTGATTAATCGGAATTTGGCGATTGGCTGAAAATTAATCGATTGGATCGATTTGATTGATTGAATTGAATGAATGAATGAATGACGCTCCGCTGGCCCTCTGGGGGCCACTGCCGTGGAGGCAGACTATTTGCCTATTTGAACAGAAAATCAACAGCATATCATCTTGTATGTTGTACGGAGAAGATCTTCGAGCGCAGCGAGCTATGGGGGTTTGGGGGCTCGCCCCATGAAGAAAGATATGAGAAGTGGATGGGCGATTTTATCGTTTGTGGGGTGTGATATTAGAAACGATATTCTCAAGATTGACCAGGATTGTACGGTGTGCCGATAGTGGTTTATTATTCACACGCTATCAATTTAAAGTTTAGATATCCACGTGAAATTATGGGGAGCTATCAAATCCGGGGGTTGAAGCTTAATTCCAATGCATCACAAGCTTCTATTGCGACAAACATCCCGCGTTCTATAATCTAATATCAGACCTTTCTACCGCTGGCGATCCAATATCAAACAAAACCTTAGCCTTAGCTCAATACATCCGGTTGTACATGATATACTATTTGTCTGTCTAACTACTAGGCTAATCAAACATCAACCACAACACAACAATACAATGTCTTCATCACCATCTCCATATCCTACCTCAAGCTATACCCCTCATCGAAACTCTCAATCCTACTCTGCGAACGATCCAAATGCTCCACCACCACCACCTCCTAAACCAAATTCCCGAGATGTGAGTCGTCAAGGTACACCTGCGGGAAGTGGAACACAATCATTTCCTAGACCTGGAGTTTCAATGCAATACGAAGGAAGACAAGATGATACTTCACGAGAACAATCTCAACAAATTCAAGATCCTGGGGATCAGTGGCTTCCGAATATATTGCTGGATAAATCGTATGTATTACATTACCCATATGCAGTTGAACATTTTTCAACTGCGGATAACTTCTCATTCTGCCTATCATGATTCTTATGAATGTCTCTATTATCCTTGTGTATATCACCTTGGTGTATAGTAGGATTGCTTAGATTTCGTGTCTGGAGGACATGAACATCGCATTAGTTAGCTCATAATATTAACATGATTCAGGAAGCAAGACCTCGCATCCGTATTATCCAACCCTGCTCTCCTAGCCGCCCTCACACACTCAACATCTACCGCTCATCCGTCCATTTCTATATCACAAGAACCACTAAAATCCGCATTGGATGATAATATTGCACTAGCAACTCATCTATTGGAACTTGAGTCTCGACTTGATCACCTGCGCTCTTCAACACAAGCTCAATTATTATCTACACATGCATTGGAACGTCAATGGAAACAAAAACAATCCGAGATGGATAGAACTTTAGCTCCTTTCTCACCGAGCTCATTATATCAAAGATTAGGTCAAGGTGTTCAGGAACAAGAAATGATTTGTAGGGCCATGGAAGAAAGTTTTCTTGAGGGTGATGGCATGGCTACGGAAAGGGAAGCAGTTGATTGGGTTAGAAAGTATAGGGAAACGAAGAAAGTTTATTATTCAAGGAGAGAGAGGAAGGATAGATGGGATGAAGGAAGAGTTGGAGGTTGGAGATGATGTGAAAGTTTTGATGTATTATATTTTCTGAAATTCGAACGTTAATATTTACTCGTTAAGAGAAATATGATTTGATATAAAATACATCATAGCTGTAAGAAACTGTGAGGATACAAAGTACAAAACGGCAGTTGTAAACATGAATATACCTAGTAAATATCTCCCGACAAAATACAACGAAAGTCATCCGGGAATACAAAAGGATAAACGAAACAAATACCGGCATGAACATCGTATTGTAATGTAACATAATCCCGGCTGTTTTCAAAGCTACTAGTAAGTTATGAAAATATATATAGATTTATTCTTTTTTTATAAATAAATAAATGAATGAAGAACTTAATAAAAGACTTGTCAAAATATAAATATTATTAATTTGATTATAAAATTAAATTAAAGATATATTATAATTTATTTTTTAAATAAAAATATTATCAATATCCTTTTAAATATTAAAAATTATTAAACTAACTTGATAGAGATTATATTAATTAAATAGATTATTAAAATTCTTGATTTTTAAAAAAAAATTATATTTATTTAATAATATAAAATAAGATAAAATTAATATTAATATAATGTTTAAATTTAGTTAAAACTATTTTGAATCTATTATTTTTATATTCCTTTTTTAATTAATTTAAAATATTTTAAAATATTAATATTAAAATAGAATTTTAAAAGAAAAATCTTTAAAAAAAAGTTTCAAAAAATATATTTAATTAATCAAAGTTTATTATTTAAAGTATATTATATAAATCATCAAGTTGGTGATATTTGATATTTTAAAGAATAAATCTTAAAAGGATTTTTTTAAAAAAGAAATTTAAAAGAAATATAAAATATACTATATAAAGAAATTAATTGTATTTTTATTGATAGTTTAATATTTTTATTTAATAATTATAAATTGAAAAATTACAATAATAAAATTATTAGTTTTTTGTAATAGTTGAACTTGAATGATGATTATAAGAACTTCTATTAGCTTTATAGATTTTATATATTTAGCCGGCATCATGTACAAGTGGGAGTTCGTTTTTTCGCTGGCCAAAATCAATAGGTTAAGGAACAAGGAAGAAGGAATAAAGAGCTGCTGATTGTACTCTGTGGATGTACAGTAGATATTAGGTCCGAATGAAATGGAATGGTGAACCTATTAGAGACGGGAAGGGGCGTTGATAGGTACCGGGAATGGCGGATGCGATGCGATGGGTAGGTTGTGTTACTTTATTTGGTGTGTGGTGTGTGGTGTGTGGTGTGGTATGCCGAGAATGAGGATGAGGATGAGAATGATGATTTGTTGGTGATATGGTGGTAATACGGTATGGGATGGCATGGTGTGTAGATCATTATCAGCATAAAGATCTTATATATCTACTCCTTTCCTTTCCTGTCGTGATTCGTGAAAATTAATGGTTAAATGGATGGACGATCATGCAATATGCAGTGTAAACATAAATAAACGGGTATATCCGTCTCAGTTTGGGTTACAGTTACAGTTACATTAAGAACCAAGACTTTACCCTGGGATTTTGCCTAAAGGTAAATTTCTTGGTTCATCGTCCATCGGTTTGCGTGCTTGCGTGCTTGTTGTGTTTGGTGTTTAGCGTTTGCTTGGTACGGTATTTCTTTAAGATTTGCTAAGCTTGAGATGGGTTAAGTTTGTGTCACGCTGTTTTTGGATGCTCCTTTTCGCCGTCTTTTTCCCTCGCGGTTGGGGTTACACAATTTGGCGATATACGGAGTAGATTTATAGATAGATAATTCTGAGGTAGAAATGTAAATTGTATATATGTATGCATCTGAGGGTGGGCATGACTGAGTATTGGTATATATGGCTTGCATGAGGATTGAAATACGAGATCATCCGGTCGTGGTATCTAGATGGAAACTTCGATCTATCTGTCTAGACTGCTATTTGAATACGAGATGGATGGGCATGAGTGAAGATGTGCATGTGAGTGTGAGTGTGCGTGGATGACGGTTGATGGGGTGGGATGGGTAGAGTAGGGGAAAAGGCATGTGAGTTCTTTTGGGCTGTGTGGATAGGTAGTATTTTATTGAGATATCGCGATACTGATAAATGGAATATATGGAATTGATGGGATAAATGATTATAGACCTTTGTAGCGAATTTCAAGTGACGTTCTCGACAGTTGTCGATATGAGGATGAAAACGAGGATATAACAAGCTGATTATTATATTTTAACTTTTTAATACAATTTCTCTTTTTATAAATATAAGTCTAGTACTCTACCTTCAGATTACCTCTCTTTTAGATTATCTTTTTATAATAAAATTGTGATTTTTATCTATTAATATCTTGTAATAAATAAATAAAATTAATTAAAAACTTCAAATATAAAATAATTAAAAGAATATAAATAAAATTTAAAAATTTCAGACTTTTTATAATTTTATAAATTGAAATATTAATAAATGAATTTTGAATTTATATAAATTTTAGAAACTTAAAATCTTAAATAACCTTTTAATAAAAATATTTGAAACAGAATTATCAATTAATTTCAAATCTTTTAATTATAATTAATTGAGTAAATTATTTCCATAATTAATTGTGTTTTAAAATATATTGATTAATTTGATTAATTTAATTAATTATAATATAAGAAATTGTAAAAAATTTATAATTTAAAATTTAAATTTTTTTTAAATTTATATATAATTTATTTATTTAAATTAAAATTCAATTATTCAATTATCAGTATCTCATTAAATCTTTTTTTTTTGGAAATCTTTAGAATTTGTTTATATTTAAAACTTTAATCAATTTGATTTATTATAGAATTGTTAATATATGAAAACCACAGTTTTTGATATAAAAGAATAATTCAAAAGAGGGGTGGTCCAAAAGTGAGGTATTAGATTTATATTTTAAATACTTTATATTTATGATAAAAATTTGACTTAGAGTTGAACAGGTACTCGTTAGTTTATATTTATAAATGTAGGAGAATGTGAAGAAGGAAAATAGCTAAAACTAAGATTCTTTCTCGTGATCCTGGACGCGAGTAGTCTCTAGATTTAAATGAGTATTATGCTCACGGGAAATTGAGTCGAGACATTGAGACATTGAGAGTGGGAATGTGAATGTGAATGTGAATGGGGATGGGGATGGGGATGAGAACAGCTAGCAATAGTCAAGCTTGGTCCCATTAGTCTGCTCATTTTGAAATTTCAAATTTCAGGATTTGGAAATTGTGAAAAGAAAAGAAAAGGCTACGGCTACGGTTATGGCTATGGCTATGGTTATGGCTATGGATATATAATATTGATGGAGCGAAACGTGGTAAGGTATACTAAGGAGAAACCCAAATGATCTGCTGAGGTAAGTTCACTGGTATTTATGGCCAAATATCCCTTTTATCATTGTCTAGTTGCCTAATAACATCAATATTTATATATTATATCTGTCTGGTTCGGCTTGAAATACTGATATTGATCTTCTCCACATTCTAGTTGATCGTAGACGGGACGTCAATCACAACGATGTTGTTTCAAGAGACAACTACGTCAAATTTTCATCCGAACCCCTGTTTACTCTGCATTTATGGTTTTCGGAATATAAATAGATGAGGTTATTTCAATGGAAGACTTTCTCTATGGAAATGGTTACCGAGGGACGAGACGAGAGAGATCAGGGTGTAAACAGTGGATTACAGAACTGAGGGAAATAGGTAGTGGATGATTATGCGAATTGTGCGGTTTATGTATGCTTGATAGCAGAATGTCTCTTTAGATTAAATTAACATCAATGATGTCTGGGTTATAGTCGAGAGTTTCGAAGTTTATTAAAGGTAGAGGAGTGAGATGTTGAGATGAGCAGCCATAGATACAGGAATTATTGGATGTAGTCAAGAGATGGTAAATATAGTTAGTTCTGATTAGAGTGTGGAGGCTTCTCAATGCATTTTGAACGGAATAAAGAAATTGGATAAGGCGAAAATGAGAGATAACTGAATGGTAGCTGTAGGTACTAATTGATTTACAGATTTCGTAGTACATCTAATTGTAAATCAAAAGGAATAGATCGAAAAAAAGAGAGTCAGACAAGACAGTCTGAAAAATAAGCGAGCGTTATCTAGTTATTTGCATAAAAGCCTAGTGAATAATAAGATTCAATCTCTTTTTGAGAGTTATCATACAAAGTGCTTTTATACTAAGATGAGATTGAACGAGGAATTAGACCAGCCAGGATTCAAAATGGTGAATATCACAGAATTAGTAAATACTTGAAAGTTTTACTTATAACTAGATTAAACAAGAAATTAGAAACAAGATAAAAGATGAAAACAAACGAGTAGGAACTACTTCGATACTATTGACTTTGCGCAGTGGCCAGTGAATAATTCAGAGCATGACAATACAGTCTGGAAGTTATATTAAAAATTATATTTTTATACTATCTGCTCTAAGATATTTTGCTCGTAGATGGAATTAGATCAGATAAGAATAAGGAATGTGTTAACTCGAAGTCAATAGGGAGAGGGTGAAGTGAGGAAAACTTTTGACAATAAGACTTATGTCTGTAAGCAGGAAGGATTGCTTACTTACATTTTCTTTAGGGGGTGTGGGGACAAACGATAGAGGAATTCGAATGAAGAAAATGAATAGTATAAATGGGTAAAGTATACAGGAGTAAAGCAGGCAGTAGATAATTTGGATGGAAAAATGAAGTGAAAAAAAATTAGTCTTTAAACAAGGATCGAAAAGTCATCAGAGAAAAAGGGGTTTAAATAAGCGAAAATAGAAGATATAAACCACTAACTTATTAACTAAATATCCATTTAATTTATCTGTTTTTATTCAGAAATTGAATATAATTATAGTGAAGAGCTTTAAGAATATTCAGATCTGTATTAATTTTTCCAAGACTAATCAACATCAAATAATATATCAGTTATAACGTTCCCTGCCTTCATTTTTCTAAACCTGTCCGTTAATTAATAGTTTTCATCCTTTTTCTTTTCACTCCTCCTTTTCGTCAATCACAAACCCAATTTTTTTACTCCATTCTTCCTTCCTCCCTTCCTCCCTTTCAACCCCATCCCAAATCCCACCACAACCACCACAACCACCACAACCCAGCTCCAGAACAAAATCACCCAGTATTCCATCCACCTCTTATTCCTATCACAAACAACAAACTACTCCATCAACTCCCCTCCAATTAATTTAAAGTCACACTCGCTACAGAAAAGCATTGCTCGATTGTACTAAGAAATGCTGCTTGTATCTCGATGGTTTTGTTTTATTTGATGTTATATGCTGTTGCTGTTGCTGTTGCTGTTGTAAATGATTGTTGGTTGTTGGTTGGGTTTATTTGAGGGGAGGTGAGATGGGGAGGTGAGAAGAGGAGAAAAAGTACTTGCAGTATATGCGTGAAGCACTGCACTGCACTGTACTGGTTTGTCTCACTGGAGATGGGAGAGTTTTCTCAGATACATTTCCTTATGGGAGATATAAAAGCGAGGGTGACATGCGGTTGACTCAACTTCGAAAAAGAGTTTGAAGATATCAATTAGAGATTCCCATAAAGGGGGAATAGAAAATGAAATAAAGGAAAATACAGGGTTGATTTCATTATAACCTCGCTGAAATCATGAGCCTCTCGCCGAACATGTACAAATCGATCCTCATTTGATTGATATTCAGTAATTAGCCTCAAGAGGTTTTTAGTTTTTAAGAGGAGTGGACTCTGCAGTAATGGATGGTAAATTAAATAAGAGATGTGATTACAATCTTCAGTGTGTAAATGTGGATTGTGTAGTTCTCTGTTATAATTATGTATAAACCAGAAATCGTAACTCCTAGCTTCCAAGTACCAACCCTAGCTTTCATAGCTAATCATGAAGAATAGTCAAAAGTCAAAAGTCAACAATTCAATGCTAAAGCCGAATTACCAAATATATCTTCCAATGACATATAGTATATACCCCACCCAAGTAAGGTATCTCACATCTCATTCCAAACCCGCTCTCCTTTTATACGCCGAACTCGATTCCCGAAAGTCAAACTGGAAGAGTTGTCCTGAATTCCGTATCACCGTTACCATCCATCAAGTTTGAATTCCTAACTGAATCCAAAGCATATTCTGCAATTATCTTCTCGGCTGCTGTTTCACCTACTAGGTACGCTGTTGATTGTGTATGATTACTATTTTTGACATTTATTAGCTTTTCATTCATCCACCATTTAACTCATCAATTTCGTCACTCCCTCATTTCCTCTCATTCCCATGCCCGCATTTCTACTCACTTCCCCCTCACAATCAACTTCTGTGACACGTGAAACAAAAAATGCAGAAAAAACCCCCAAAACAAAACAAGAAGAGAAAAACTCACTTAGGCAAAAGTGGAAGCACACTACAATCCACAACTCTTAATCCCTCTACTCCTAATACTCTGAAATTTGTATCTACACATGCTGTATTCTCATCTTTACCTTTGCCCATACGAACCGTGCTAGACATGTGCCAGCTACTAAAGAGATTCTTACGACAGTGTTCCTTTGATTATGTCAGCTTGTGGGACTTCATTCAGAGAAGAAGACTGAATGGGGAAAGGTAATAGAGTGGGAAAGAGCTGCATCAATTGATGCTAAAAATCGCAAGTACATGGAAAAGAGACACGCAAGAAAGAAAGAAAGACTAACCCAAATCTCCTCATCCCCTGCCTCAACACCACCCTCTGGAACACCAATCATCTTAATAGTCTTCTCTGTAAAAATTGGTGTGTCTAAGAATTCCAATGCTTTTCTCACAGCTTCAATTAATACTCTTCGATCATATGGATGATTCATCAAATTCGCGTTGATCATCGGTGGGTCAGAGGGATTGGAGGAGGAAAGTGTAATACTGCCTGTAGCTTGTGGATTCATGATGAATGAGAGACAGGTCAGATAGCAATCTTTTGGGGAGAGAATGTGGGTTCCTGTGTAGAGAGGTGGAACGTGCTAGATGGATGTTAGGATGTTTTGAAAAGGAGATGAAGAAAAACAAAAGAGTAGGGGACGAACTGTAGCGATTTCAAAAATGGGAACATTCTCCTGCCTGATAAATGCCTTTTTCTCCTCTGGTAACTCGGCGAATTCTTTCGAGTCCAAAACTCTATCATTCCTAAACCATCCCATTGGAACACCACAATACAATTCAGCCAACTTCCCACTTTTATCTTTAATCCAACCTTCTTTTGCTGTCTTCTTCATTTCTTCACTCATCTCAAATTCCATCCGATCATTCGACCCTTCCTTGAGCAAAAGACTCGTAGTTGTAAAAGCATGATCTTGAAGGTTCTTTCCTACTTGGGGAAGATTTTTAATAATAGGAATATTATGTTTTTGAAGTTCAGAAGCAGGACCTATTCCTGAAAGCAGGAGAAGTTGAGGACTATTCAATGCACCAGCTGATAGAATGACATCTTTATGTGCATAGTATTCTCGACCATCAATTGTCCTAATACCTTTTGTTTTCTTTCCATCCAATAGGATTTTTGCCACTGGTGAGCTTAAAATGGTTTTGAATCGTGGACCCATTAATGATAAATATGAAGAAGCAGTTGTTCGAAGTCCCTCATACATACATGAAGAACCCATTCCCATTCCAATAGGATTTCCCGAATTAACATCAAGATTTAAGGGTAAACCTGCTTGTTTCGCCGCTATAAAAACATCCGTAAGACCTTTTTCCCAAACAGGAGCATAGGAAAGATGGAGAGGACCACTCGTGCCATGATCTTCTGGTTTCGGATTCACGAATTCTCGATATTGATCTGCTACTTCATCATGATAATGTTCGATTTTCTTAAATCTTTCTTTAACATTAACCCATGACCAAGTATCATCGTCGACTTTCTTAGCCCATGCGTCGTAATCTTCGGCTCCGCCTCTTACCCAACAGGAGAAATTTATAGCGGTGCTACCACCAATTCCTTTTCCTCTCGAGTAATCTAGTTTTTGTCCGGCTAAATGTTCACATGGTTCTGTTTTGTATCCCCAGTTTAAGGAGGGTTGTGTTCCAAATAATGTGAATCTTTCAGCGGGGACAAGATATTGTTGATCGTTATTTGGACCTCCAGCTTCGATTAGAAGAACAGATGGATGAGAAGAGGATGATGAGAGTCGAGCTGCAAGCGAGAGACCTGCAGGACCGGCTCCTACGATAATGAAATCATATGTATTGTATGGTGTGGATGTCATTGTGGAATACAATCGGATATTTCTGTTATCCTGTGATATGTCTTCGAGAGAGGATGTGGGGAGGATGTATAGAGCAAAGATTAGGAACAGTGAGTCGTGTGCTTACGAAACTTATTCAATTTTGAGAATAGAGGAGTTGAAAGTGCGGTTATAATGATATTTAGAATATGCTAAGCAACTAATACCAGTGAAGCCACAAAGCCATGAGAATGTAGAGCTGACTGATCACAGATGTATTTGCATTGGCACGTTGATTTATAAGATATTTTCGACTCAAACAAAGATGAATTCTTTGTAAATCTCGAAAAGGTAAAATAATATAAGTTAAGAATTCGAACTTATGATATTTACCTTAGATACGAAGAGGGTACGATTAAAGTATATGAATAATCTGTAATAGAATGAATACTCGTGACTTCAAATAGCGGAATTGAACCCGTTCGCTTGCTTCTTCTCCTTTTAAAAATGATAATTTCTGGATTAATAACCTGTAATAATGTAACGAACGCATGGCGGGGTAGCTCAAGAGTAGCACACCTAGCACAGATAGTGTAACATTGGCATGATCTCGATGAATGAAAAGACGGCTCGGTATATATTTGGAATGTAAGACGATGAAAGGATATCCGTTCTTGGAAAGCTGAAGTAGAAGAGGAACCAATGACAACTGTCTCATCACTTAGTTGTATGTGTTAATTGCCGGGTAGGTATTCGGGCTTTGGTTGACGTCCATATTGGTATTCGTGAAGTCAAATAATGATGCGGCTGACTATGTTTGGTGTAATTATGGCTATGGTGCAGCATCGAACAACAGGTGTCACGGCTGGCTTTTTGCTATCAGGTTATTTCGAGACATACTGAATATTAATTGCCAGTTATCGGAAGTTTGACGATTGTTGACATCCTACAACTTATAAATAAATCTATCAATCCCGTGATAAAGTTCATGAATAAATCCTCCCATATCATACATAATTATCGGACGAGCGACCATCTTTATGGTTGTGATTAAATGGTAGAACGAGCAATGCCACTCGGGTAATGATGATCGCTACGGATTTGTAGAGCTGGTATGCACAGAAGCTTGCATATCCAAGGTGCTGTGCATTCGAAATACTAGTACAATCAGAGACACGTTAATTCCATCGAGGAAGTCCTTAGGAAGAGCTCCACGTCGGCCATTGATGTAAACGGTTTGCTTGGATATGTTCATTTACCACTTTAAGCGTCGGCAACCTATGGACCGATAGCTACCTAGGTCTGCCTTTGCCTTGTAGAAAGTAACTCACTGCAAGGTGACGCTTCAACCTGAGTAAACGTTCCTCAAGATGCTATCCGTCATCCGTCAAGAAAGGGTACAGTAGTTCTTCCTACGAGTAGTTTCTAAGAACGATTGTAAAGAAACTCTACCTTTAACTCGCACTGCCCCATAGAGGGATATCAGGATATGGCGTTGAAGCAAAAGACAATAAGACGTCTAATCTTATCGAGAACATGCCTGGGCAAAAGCAGATATCCAAGGGGTAATTTAGTCAATGCTGGCGACATAACTATAGTTTGGATGTAAAAAGAAACGAGAATGAAAAGGCTTCTTCCGGGAGAGACAGTCGTCCCAGATGAACAAGCGGTCAAAGAGTAATTAAAAATTCCACATCTTGTTGGACGACAGCTCGATGCTCAGTCGTTTTCACCTTTGTCGAAGATTAATAGTAAACTCCACCGGTAAAGTCACAAACTCCCTTTAAACATCCGTCAGTAGCCTACCAACTCTGATCAAAGATCTCTATATTTAGAAACTAAACGGCAAATCGTGAATTGCCGTCTTCGTCGAAAAAAAGGCCTTCTTTCTTGAGTTTGAATGTTTGTGTTGATGAGAGATCAGAAATTGACAATGAGCGGTGAAGATGATGTTCTTAAAGGTAAGCAGATGGTCTGCAGTCATCAACAATCCCCGACAGCTGACATACAAATTGGGACAGATGCTACACACCGGAGAATTAAAGCTATCTCTTCAGACAAGGGAATTGTAGCTAGAATTGGCGCATTTTAGACAACGGTAGTTGATGCCGACCGAAGGGGTGCTCCGTATCATAATGATTTCAGGAGTTGGAAGATTTGGAGTTTGAATTTTGTTCCCACAAAATAAACAACGTGACCCTAGTCCCAAGGTTGAGATGAGTTACCGGCATTTCAGGAGCTACTCAGCTATCGTGATTCTCGAATTAAGCAATGCAGATCTGTAGCGTCGTAGTTCATAAGCCTATGGACACCAGGGCCTAGAAATACGACATAAGATGGAATGCAAGGCACATATATGCAACATTTGCACAAACTTTACTTGACCCATGTAGTGCGATCGAATTCCGCTTTATCTTTGTCAAATTTTCGGAAGGGGAATGTAAAAAGTTCATGATGATTTTTGATAAACCTTGCCCAAAAATGATATGACAACTGATGGACTTGAAATGTATAACATTCGATCATACTAATGATCACAACGACTCGGGATTGTCCTATTCAGTTGAATAAAATAAGCGGATGATATACTGGGTTGTCCATGTCCCTCGCAGAAACGGATCAATGAAGTATGAGACACCATGAGAGTGTTGGAAGGACGATGTTACATTCGACTTTAGACGGATGGATGCATATGGCTCTGACGCATAGAAACTCAAATGCAACTCTTTCCAGTGAGATGTGTACAAGAAATGACTTGAAGAAGTCTACTCGAGCAAGCAATGATTATTTGCATGAAGAGAAGGTCCTGGCATTGAATCTTTGGTAACATGACGGGGTAGGGGTTTCTACCCCGCTTCCCAATGACACCCTACCTCTCGAGTATCGAGAAGTTTGGTTCCGCGGTTTCTTTTCTTGGTAGATGGCTGATGATGGCTGATGATGGCTGATAATGGCTGATAATGGCTGATATATGGCCGATTGATGATCGAATAGAATCTCCAGTGACAACGTTCGGAGATATCATTCCGTATAGATGTAGCTAACTGACCAAGAGTTGGAAGTACCAAAAACCCAGTCAAAGAGCATGAATTGGACTGGTAGTGGTTCCTAGGAGGAGCTTGTAAGAAAGTAGAAAGTGTGATCTCACAGCAACATGGTAAATGTATAAATGTATAAATGTATGGCTACTGCATGGCTAACAACGTGGTGTACACACTATCAATACATTGCATATCTATGCATACCAGCCATAGGATCCAATCTATTAATAGAATCCTTAACGAACTCCCTTGTTCTTACTGCTCGTATGGTTGTTGGCTTTGTGAGGTTTTCATTCCTTAATATTCAATCCCATTTGCAAATGTTGGACATACTCGAATATTCTCATTGGCCATATATCTCTCAAGGATAGATGATGATTAATTCTCCCGAGGTCTACTGGAGTAATTCTATATAGATATATAGATATGATTACATCCCAAGAGTTCAAAGAAAGGATCTAATAAAGCTAGAACGTACAAGAAGAGAATTCGTGAGGAGGCCCTTTGAACGCAAATCTCTATCTCTCTCTTTTGATCTCTCTACCGAATTAAACCCTCTTCAAATCTAATAAACCTCTTCAAATCTAGACCTCTTCAAATCTAAACCTCTCCAATTCTAATAAACCTCTTCCATTCTAAACCTCTACTACCCAATTCCGTCTTCCCCACCTTCACCTACCTAAGCTTAACCCCTCTTTGTGAACTTTGTCTTTTACTGCGCCACATTCAAATACGACTTATGATTCTTATGACTATTATTCCTTCTCCTCATCCGTGAACCCCTGGATGGATAATCACGTTGTTTCATAGCTTCACCACTTTAATCTGAATGGATCAACCCCGATAACCCTATTCTCCGTGAGTCTTCAGACGAAGCTTCCTCAAAGCTTGTTACCCATCACCATCACCAACGGCAATCACACCAACATACAAAATGGCAGTCTCAGCTTCTTCACCACGATTACATTTCGAACCTGACTATGTACCGTTACCTACTTCCCCCGATAATGTAGAACAGGCCTCTCCGCCATTATCATCTTCGACCGCTCTCGCACGCTTTGAATTCGAATCCGGCCGAGGAAATGAAGGAACCAAAATATTGATGGTAGAATGGGAAGATGATACTACAGAAGGATCGGCCAAAAACATGGGAGATTGGGAGGTATCATGGGAAGGGAAAAGTACTGTTTTATCGGCACGAGATGGAGCAGAAGGGAAACTTCATCGACTTTACTTCCTACTGGCTCCCGGTGCCAGCATACCAAGAATTATAAAATTATCACAAGTGGGACGAAAAACCATTCAAACAAACCCATTGCCCGCGATATTCCCACCCGAATTAGGATTGACTGCGCGACAAGCTGGACGAAAAGGCGTACTACATACGATATGGGCGAAGAAAAGAATATCTGTGCTGCAAAGGGAGATTGAAGAAGAAATGAAAACAAATGGGGAAGGGGTAGGTTTGGAAATGGCTATACAAGAAAGACAATGGATAGAGGAGAACTTTGGTGTTGGACCAAAAATTACACAATCGGATATACAACATAATGCTACACCGGCTAGTCCGAAAACACCTGGTGGTGGAAGGTTATCCGAGAAGCTTAAGGGGTTGAAATTGGGAACTAGTGCACAAGACCTGAGTAATGTTCCAGGTATGTACGAGGTTATGTGTCTACAAATGGGGAGCATGAAACTAAATATTATTATTATAGAATCTAAATTCGAAAGTCATTTAAATCCATTATCCCCGGAACAGGGTGATGTCGCCGTATCATCATTCTCTTTATTTCATGGAGCAACTGCTCGTCCTCAACCACTACGTCTTGTCGCTCAACATCCACCGAATCATGTGTCACAACCAGGAATGAATTCTTTGAACGCTCTTGCAACCGGTGGCATATCACAAAAGACATCTGATGAAGATCAAACCGGAGATGAATTATTTGCTATCAAAATGAGTCCAAGAAGTCCAGAGATGACCAAAAGTCCTTTTAGTTTCGCAATCAAGGATGTAGCTTTGAGCATGGCTCAAAAGGAATAGGAAACTTTTCTTCCCCATGTCGAAGGGAGGAAAGCAGAAATTTACGACGATATGACTACGATGGAACGAAGGCAAGTTTTGTGCGAATTGATTTGACAAGGTGCCCAGCATCAAGGGATAGATTTTCAAAAGGTACAAAAACGCTCGCTTTATACCCACTATGCTTTAGTCGTTGATAACATCGATTTGAATGAGGTCCTATTACCTAAGTTTATATAGTTACATATTTGGATACCAACTTTTAATCGCTAAATTGGATTACTTTGAGGAGTTTTTTGGATTTGGGTCTGTTGCGATGTCTTGCCAAGGGTGCCAATATACATCTAATTCACTACCGGACCGAAACATGCATCCGAATGTATTTTGTCTTGTGAATCTTCCTCCTTTCGCCTCATATTGTGTACATCATGATTGATGTACACAATCCACCATAAGTCCACCGACTTAGCCACCAAGTACAAATTCCTTTAGTCACAGAAATGTTTCTTCTTCTTCGGAAACTCACTCCGTATTGAAACATTTCTGCCTTCCAGCTTTCTCCATGATGGGTGTTTTCCCCCCTCGTGGCTACCCGCTGCTATTCCCAAGAGCCTACAGCTAATTTTGGGTCACCTCCAGCTGATTTTAACGTTCTTCCACTTTGAATCAACGCTCAATTACTTCTAGAGTCTCCAATTGATAAGTGAATATGGTTCATACTCACTATGTAAGAAGTATACTGAATGAGAGGGTGCACCGCATATGGCTTACGAGACTCAACGAATGATAGTGACCTTTGGTCGCCGCTCACCTCATTGTCACCTTAGTTTTACAGAGCTTGTGAGACTATACACGATGACTTTTAGAACCGAATCTTGGCTCATGATCTAATTTATATATGATCGAAGCCACCGAGTGTTGTTTGACTCAATCAATGTACTAGTTTGTTTATTTTCTCGCATTTTTATTTTGGTTCTTATAGTAACTTCATGAAATCATTTCATTTTTTCGTTCTGCAATATTTAGTTTTGGTTTTAGTACTACAGTAGTACTGACCTAAGTGAATCACATATGGTCCTTGGTAACGTAGTTATCTTACTATTGACCTCTCATGTTTGGTGTTTTATTCTATCAAAGAAACCTCAATTCTCTCTTTGAGATTTGTTGTTCAATTGAAAGTTGTTGTGATTAGCTTCGAATTGGGGATGTAACATCCTCCTTTGTCGAACAAAGGGAGGAGAAAGTCGCCGAAACAGTGATCTCATATTTGTATCAACTCAACTGCCACACCTCTTCTTTTCTCTTCTCTTCACTCACTTCACTTTACTATCACGATGTCTACTAACACAACAATCAACCTCGCTCTTTCATCTCCTTTCCACTTCCTCCCCATTTCAACAATCACTATCCTCATCATCCTCTCAACATATCTTCTCTTAGTTCATTTCCTCAGATTTTCAAGACGAGATTCAATGATTAGGAAATTTGGATATACAAACAGAGAATCTTTCAACGATATGACGAATACGGATGCGCAGAAGATTATTATTCATTTGGGAGAATTGGAATTTCCGAGCCTTTATAAGATGAGCATGCAGTTTGGTCTTTTTAAGGTATGATGGATTTTTAGTTGTCCGGTGATATGGATTTGTTTTGAATTTTGAGCCTCATTTCGTCTCGAAATATGATTTATATCGGAAACTATAAACTCGCCATCTTTTTAAGTTGTCATGAATACTCTCCTACCGTTCATAGCCTCTTTCTCGAGAATAGACTAACCCCTCCCCAGACCTATGGAATCCCCGCAATCTCCAAACTCCTCGTCGACACCAAACAATTCAGCTCCAAAGAAACAGCCAGCAAACGTTTTGCCGACACGGGTATCCTAATTGGAGAATTTTCCTCTCATCCTCCTCTTCATCCACGCGTTCTAAAGGCTATTTCCCGCATGAATTATCTTCATTCCGGATATCAAAAAGCGGGCAAAATCTCCAACGATGATTTACTCTATACATTAAGTGTTTTCATCACAGAACCCATAAATTGGGTTAATAAGTATGAATGGAGAGAGTTCAATGATATGGAAATATGTGCAATCTCTACTTTCTGGAAAGGAATAGGCGATGCGATGGAAATTTCCTATCATGTACTTCCCCGATTCAACAAGTGGAAAGACGGAATAGAATTCTACGAAGACATTAGAGACTGGGCGCAAGAATACAGGGAAAAATTTATGCTCCCAAATCCATATAACAAGAAAACAGCAGATCAACTCGTCCCACTCCTCCTATTCCTTGTCCCAAAATGGGCACTCCCATTTGCGAATGATGGGGTGGGAGTACTAATGGGTCCGCGTCTGAGAAAAGCCATGATGTACCCCGAACCTTCGCCTCTCCATCAATTCCTCATTCTCTCACTCCTCAAAACTCGCCAATTCTTCCTCCGCTACCTCTCACTCCCTCGCCCGGAATTCATGCGCGTGAGAGAAATAAGTCCAACTGATGATAAAGGTATAAACGAGAGATTCCACTCGTCAAATTATTTGGTCCATCCGTATTATCAAAATCCGGGTTGGTGGAATAGATGGGGTCCTATGGCGATTTTTACGAGGATTATGGGGGGTTATGTCCCCGATGGGAGGGAGGAGTGGAAGGCAAAGGGGTATAGGTTTGAGGAGGTGGGACCGAGGGAGAGGGAATGTAAGGGTTTGGAGGAGATGAGGGGGATGGAGGAGAGGCTTGAGAGGGAGAGGAGTGGAGGTTGTTTGTTTGCTTTTGGTGGGGGTGAGAAGTGAAGTGGGGGAGATAAGGATGGATAGGTAGGATTGAGGAGTCCAGCTGGAAATTGTGAATTGGAGTTGTAGTTGGAGGCTGAGTTTAAAAGTTTTGTGGACAGTGAAAAGTAAATAATGGTTGGTTCACTAACTCATCTTGCTCAATGGATTTTATGATGTATGATAGGTATTTATAGATATAAAATATGAAAATATGAAATCGATGGAAGTACAATAAGATTAGAAGAAAAATTATTATGCTCTTTGTATCAGTCACATCATATCACATCACAACATCAAATATTATACAATCAACCAATCAATACGAGTATTTTCGCACTTAATCAAAAACACAATATCGATCGTACTTCTTATTATTATTCGTTCATCCATTCATACGCTATGTAAATTATCAATTTATCAAATAGATGGATGGATAGAGGTGTGGGTTTCTCAACACTCTTAACACCAAAACAAACCTAATACTAAAGGGGAAAAAAAGTAAAACTCCATCCACATCCACATGCACATGCACAAAGTGCGTGCTATGAAAGTAATAGATAAACCATAAACCATAAATAATAACTCATACCTCATAATCTTGAGCGCTGAAATGAAAACCTGAACCTGAACCTAGATTATGTCTTTGTAAATGCTTGGGTTGGGTGGATATCTGGAACCGCATGGCATATCTGTGATGCCCCAGCGAGAAGAAAAAACAAGAAAGACGAAAATTAAACAAAGAAATTAAAAAGAAAAAACTCCTTGTTATGCTCAACCGTGCCATGATATGCTCAATATCCTAATCATTTCCTATGCCTTGCTATCCCGTAAATCGCTAATTTTCCTTCGGTTAATCCTAAATCATGTACTTTATCCCCGAAGCAAACTCCAGTAACCCGTGTCCCAAACGCACTAATAATCGTAAGCCCATAGCATTGACAGCGGGGTGAATTCATGTTCGCAGTAGAGAACTTATAAATTGACAATATTGCAAAATCGTCAAAAGGACCAACCAAGCAGGAGGCTATGCGCACGGAATGACAACCCTAGGATGAAGACGAGGGAAGGACTTAGAATGTCGCCACCCCATCATCAAAAGAAAAAGGATCATCATCACCAGGTAAAAGAACAAAATGTGTGACATTAAGGTTTCCAACACATTTCCCAATCACTTCTGGTTTCCACGACCTGTTGATGAGAGCAGGTTGAACCTTATGCATCTCAGAGGTAAACTTCGCTGGGTCATCTATTTCATTAAGACGATTGTGCTCCGCATAGGCCATGCCCATGGTCCATATTTTTTGTTCCGCTTCATTCATCTCCTCGGCCATGGCTCTGGGCAACTGGATATTTTCGTCATCGTATCCATATCTCCTAGGAATCGTAACGTAATCCACATTTGGTGCGTTTGGACCTTGTTGTGCTTGATTGTTCATCCATTGATTGGCAATGTGGTTTTTCGCGTGGTCTATTTCCCTAAACATGTTCGAGAGGAGAAGCTCCCTCGCATCTCCCTGCAAAATTGGAAGAATTTCTCGGTCAAGGAGAATATCGGGGTGATCTTCCGGACCTAGAGGTGCCGTATGGAAGATACCTCTAGCTTCATCCAGCCGTTGTCTCTTGAAAGCACTAGCTAGTCCTGAGGTTGCTGGTTTGGATGAAATGGCAATGCGCTGGCCAAACTTGGCAGTGCCAGCCTGCGGAAGGACTTGGGTTTCTTCATCCTCGGATTCTTCATCGTTTGACATTTCATCCCTGGCTTCTTCATCATCGGACTTCTCATCAGATTCCTCATCGAATTCCTCATCGTCAGAACTTCGGTCGTCAGGATTTCCGGTTGACCCCTCGATGACAAATCCATTGAGATATTTAACAACGTCCTCGACAAAAAACCCCTCGTCATCATACAATTCCGATGCATCTTTTTCACCTGCTGCAATGGAATCTTCTACGAGCTCTTTGGATGCTGGAGGCGGGAATGGGCTGATCCGTGCAGAAAATGCTGGATCTGGCAATCTTCGGGGTGAAGCACTGTATAAATCATCCTCTTCTAGCTTGTCCAGAGTAAATGCATTAGCCAGGGCGATAAATGCTGCCTGTCGTGCTTTGAGACGTGAAGCAGTGTATGGATGATCCTCTTCTACATCGTGGGAAAGGGCTGCTGGGTCTCGCGCTTTGAGGGGTGAAGCGCTGTAAAGATCACCCTCTTCTACGTCGTTGGGAGTGTAGATGACTGAGTGATCATTTGCCTCTTGTTTAGAAACCAGCACAAGTTGAGATACTTTCAGCGAGCCCTCAAGGCTAGTGTCAGGTGTCGACTTTGTAGCCTTTCCAATTTTATCAGAGACGCTACTTTGTCCATTAGATCCATCGCTGTATGGTGCTGAATTTTCGGGGGTTCCCACTTCACTTGTAGATCCTTCCTTATTAGGTGGAAACATAGTGTTCCATCGAGACATTTTTGGATCGAGTACAATCTTCTCGGGAACGCGAAGAGACGCATAGTTGAGCAATTGCTGATCTGATCTAGAATCCTCCGTGCAACTACCAAAAGGCCCCAATCCACCCGAAATCATATCATCGTTAGAATCTGCGGATCTTGCCAGATCCGTGACTAAAGGCAAATTAGAGGAATGAGATTTTCTGAGCTGTGAAGATCCTGATTCTCTATTATCAATGCTTGATCCAGCTTCTTGACCTGCGTGTTGAGAATTAGACTCTTGAAATACTGCCATATTTTGAGCCTCTTGAGCAAAACTTTGTTTGATTTGAGCACCATAGTGACTGACCCTCCCCTCAACAACCGCTGCATAAGTTTTGAAAGCCTCTTGCTCAAGAGCCTTTTGCTCACGGGCCTCTTCCTCAAGAAAAGCTTGTTCCAAAGCTTGTACCACAGCGTTTAGTCCGGCAGGTGGTTCATAATAAGAGTCCTCTTGCACCAAGAGCTGTAACTCAGCGGGTCGTTTCTTAGGAGCCTTTTGAGCCGCCCTTTGAGCAGTGGCGTGTTGGCGAGTAGTTATTTCAGCAATAGCTTGTTGTGCAAAAGCATCTTGCTCAGAAAGCTGTCCTTGAGAAGCTTGTATATTGGCCAGGGGTCTCCCATATTGTTGTTGAAAAGCAGCTTGTTGATTAACGTTCTTCCGAAAAAGCTCCAATTGATTTGTCCGATGTTGTTTCCACTTTTCGTAGGACCGATAGAGACTCACCCAGCATACTTGAGGATGTCTGCAGTCCTTTGCCTGGCATCCAAAATAACCACAGATATTGTTAAAGCAGTAGAAAATATTTCGTGGATTGTTTTCAAGGTGATTTGCTGCAGTAGAGTTTTTGCATATCCAAAATATGGTTTGCTTGTAATATAGTTCCAACTGACACCAACGCTTTTGAACTTCATTCAACCGACTGTATCCGAGTGGATCATTAAATGGATTTGGCAGCCAAGGGTCAGTGGCTTTGAACTCAATTAATTGAATTGGAATAATGTTATTTGGGCCCCAAGGAATGACGAGACCGGGAGGAAGAAAGGGTGTTCTGAATTGGTGATAATGTGGGATCATCTGAGTGCGAATAATTTCTTTCACAATTTCCTCCGATCCTTGAACTTGTTCAGGTCGTTGCTCAACCGGCTTGGGGGTATTCAGCTCAGCAGGAACAATTCCTTGTTCTGAAAGCTCTGGTATAAAAATTCCCTGTTCTTCGAGCTCAGAGATGAAGAGTGTTTGTTCCATAAGGTCTGATATAAAAATTCCCTGTCCCTCGAGCTCAGATATGAAGAGCGCTCGTTCCATAAGGTATGATTGAGTTTCCGGGCCTAGTTCGGTGACAACGTCTTCCGGTGCTAGGTTATGATCGGTATGAATAATTTCGGGTGCGGGTTCAGAATGTGCTACCCCTTGTTCCAGGATTGCCAATTTGACATCAGCTACCGGAATAGTTACCTCTGGAAAGGCAATTGGCTCTTCATCGAGCTCAACATCGTCGGGATGAGGAAGAACATAATGTCTATCGTCAGAGTCATTAATTTCTAGTAAGTTCTCCGAGTGATTCAGCATTGGCTCAACATCTGCATCATATTGAGAGAGACTGGCTTGTCGCCTAACAGGATAATATGAGTCTGGGGAATCAAGTCTACCAGTTGCCGAGTCGCATCGGGCATAGACCTGGCGGTAGAAAGATTCCGGATCCTCATTCTCAATCGATGGTTGGACCAAGGGTGCCTTGATGATAATACCTGGGTTGCTGCGTGGCACGAAAGGTACTGTAGTAACTGCAGCGGATGGACCGGTAGTGTCATCGAAATAATAACCATCAATATGTTCCGGGAAAGGATGAGATTGTCCGCCGACGTCTGTGATGTTTTCCAGACTCAAAGAACTAGGCTCATCTTGTACAACTGGATCAACACAACTGCCCTCGTTTGTTTCAGACAGTTCGTTGCTAATATCAACCTCTCCAGATGTTTTGGCGGAAGATTCAGAGGTAGACACTGGAAGAAGAACGTTGCTTACGATTGGTTCAGTTACACCGACTACCAGCTCGCTGCTGACGAGAGTTTCAACAATAACACGCTCTGTCCATTGGGTGACGGAAGCATAATAGATTGTGTGATCTGCTTGTGATGATTCAACTTCAGCACTGAATTTCTGAAAAGAGGCCAATAATGCCAATGACTCACCTTCGATATCAACAGCTTCATTTTCATGAACGGAGGAAGCATGCTCACTACCATTGTCAAAGCTGTCATCGAAGATGACCTTGATTGAAGGAGTGCTTGGTACTGGGGGTCGGGCAATAGTATCACCACCAAAATAAATGTGGTTGTTGCTATGAATGGAAGCAGCGTGCTCCGCGACTTGTGCTACTTCATTCAATTGGTCACCACTATTTTCCAAATTGTTCTCGACGATTGGTTCGACCGAAGAAATAGCTAATGGTGACGCAGGAGCAAAATCGTGGACAGTTGTTTCATTTGAGCCTGACAATATATTATTAGTACTTATTGTCTTGAATAGAACGCACAAGGAGAGCAACATACCCGTAGTGATTGCCATCAAAATTGGCAACACGGTATCAGCAAATGATGGACCAGTAAAATCATCAAAGCCGTTACTGCTAACCGCATCGTTCAAGCTAGCTTGGTCGTGTACCTGCAAAAAAGTTTCGACTGTGATATCTCCTGCCGACGGAGGACTTGATGAGTCAACGAGTGTTTTCGATCCTGGTAATTCAATGTTAGTGTTTAGCCGTTTTAATAAACTTTATAGTCTGAAGGGATAAGTGGCATTGCTTCATTACCTGTGCAGTATCTTCTGGATCTGCTGCTATCCAAGAAGCCAACAAAGCTCTTAACCTTGTTCAAAGTGGTCTTGCTGTTATTTGTAGGCTCTTGGCGGTTTGTAAGCTTCTCAGGACTCTTGAAGCTTTCTTGATTTGCGATATTGATGCCCTTGACAGAGAAAAGTCGTGCAATGGAACGGTAAATTTCTGAAATGCCCATTGTTATGATACTCACAATGCACCAAGTGGGAAATTATGGGTATGGGAGTTGTGTGTAAAGGTATGTAGATAGAATAAGATATCGACACCTAAGGGATGTTGATATGAGAACGAGACAAGTATTCGCATGCCACAGATAGATGATCAATAACAGCTATTTACTGTCTTGAAAAATGTAGACTAAATGAAAGTGGAAGTTGTAATTGTGCTGTAACTATTTTACTTCTTGAAATGGTGTGTTGAAGAAGTGCAGAGGAGGATCAAGGACGAGGCCAAAGGTTTGTTATATGAAATTTGATGTAGAGGTTGCAGTAGAATAGATTAACCGTTCCAAAGTTTTCAGGCACTAACATAGACAGTTTTGACTCTCTGCTGTATAAGAGCGTACCGTACTGGCCGTACTGACAGTCCTTGGTCGCATAAATGACTTTATTAATGACAAGAGTCGTTGACGTGGGAACACCCAGCCGTAGATACTCCTTTGGAAACCTATGGAAGCTCAATATGTCCCGTACGGTACTATGAAGGCGGTGTTGGCTCCCAAGCAATTGATCGTTCGTTTAGGAACATGATGCCAAAGATACGTACGGTATATATCTGGATCAACTTCATGCTTTCCACGTACGGTTGGATTTCCATCAGCCATATCTAGTTGTGCGGCAGTATGGTATGAGAGACTACCATAGAGAGTTTAAACTTTGTCCATACGTATGGATTTGACGCTAGCTTAACATAGTACACCCATGGGACTTGAAGCCAAACTAGTCGGACAGGGTTACTTCGGAGTAGTCTTGAAAGGCGCACAGGCACTTGTCTTTGAACTAGACGTTTGCCGATAGCCTAGCGGCCGGAAGTGTCCTCTCCATCATCGTCATCTACCTAGACTGCCGGCAAAAATTGGCCCGCATGTGCCGACAGGGGTTTCTATTGATGTTTGGTCACTCTAACATCAAGAGCACGGCCACAGCCATCCTTATGAAGACAACGATGACAATGATATGCCGACTCAAGCGTTGTTCTAGAAGCCGTGTTTGCATTCAAACGGTTAAAGGTAGGATCTTCCGGCGGTGGATTGCTATCTTGATGAATTGTTGTTCTCCCCTAGCCTAATCCCTCTTTTCGTTCGACTTGTCAATTCCGCTTCGCGCTACAGATCATAAATGCAATTTTCACCGACATACACCATAAGTGAGCCCGCTAGGTCTTCAACCACGACCTATATCGTCTCGAAGCCTGTGTCTATCCGCTGTAATCTCCAATGCCAAAAGAAAATCTGTTGGCCTTCATAAGGAGCGTAAAGCAAAGCACGCATGCAGGGTTCCCTATAGTGCGGACTGCAGTCTTATGGTAAAAGGCTGTTGGAATTTTTGATTGATTTACGTATTGATGTCTTTTGAATTAATCGATCTAATTAGAACAAACCTTTTAGGATGTTCGACTATCGGATACACTGCAAGTATGTAACGTTTTCTTCTTGACATTTGGGGCTCTTTGGATTTGAGATAAAATTCCAAATGGCTGGACCATTAGTGATTGTGTCTAAAATACGACGGCGTAATGGCTGGCGAAGTAGAATGTAGTACTGAACGGAGTAGACAAGGAGAAGAGAGAAGATATTTTGACGAAGATGAGTAGGAAGCGGAGCTGAAGATTGCATTTTCGGAAAAGAGAGGTGTAGGTACCATGTCGGATCTACCGCGAGTAATGTTACTATAATCCAGAACGAACCGCTGCTTGACGGAGAGCAAGAAGAAAATCACTAGATTCGCTAAACTTGCTTCTCGAGAAGTATAAAGAGAACGAGATGAGAGGAGAAGAATCTGAGGATTCTTCTAGCTCCAAAGCAAAGAGACGAGATGACTAGGCCATCCATGGGTGCACCGGTAAACTCAATACTTAATTCAGACTGAACCATTCAAGGCCATTGAGTTAAGAATTTCTAAAAGAAAAAGGTGACTTTGAAGACCGTCACTGAACATTGAAGCATGATGTTGAGATTTGAGATGAGGTTGCGTTGCTTACAGCTTCCTGGTTTATCGTGCACGGCCCATCATCAATCGCAGCAAGCAAGCTCGAAGCTCCAAATCCCTACTCTAGCACAAAGGACGTAAGTCTTACAACAATCCAAGAAATCCCGGGACGACGAAGTATTTCCTTTGGAGTTCTTCAGCTGGAGCGCAACCGAAAGTTCCTCGATTCTATCCCCTTACATCTACTCCGAAGCTCCAACTATGTCTGCCCCCACGAAATACATGCTGGTATCTCTACCAACATCTATCTCTCCTTCCAGCGATAAAGATGAAGCTTTAACAGCTTTGCGATCTACAATTTCCCCGGATAATGGAACTACTATACCATTTAAGATTCCTGAATTCAAAATCGGTACGCTGGATGCATTGGTTGGGCAAGCAGACGATCTTGCAAAGTTGGAAAGTGCTTGTCAAGGTGTTGTAGCAAAAGTTGGGGAATCTCTTCGCAATTTATTGGAAGGGGATGAGAGCAAGATTGCACAACAGAAAACTGTCAACGATAGTGAGTCTATTGATCTGCGAGTTTGTGATTATGATCATGGGCTAATGGTTTGCGTATAGAACCAGCGGACCAATACCTACGTACTTTTTCTTGGAACAAGGTCAAATACCGTGCCGACAAGCCACTTGCAGAGTTAATCGATTCGTTACAAAAGGTTGGCAATATTCGCAGTGAGGGTTGAAGAGTTGCTGACAGAATTTAGGAACTTGTTAGTATCGATAATGATGTTAAGGGTAAAATGAACCAATACAACCAAGTCAAGACAAATCTTACAACATTACAGCGGAAACAAACGTGAGAGCTTTGTGTTCTGAGGATATGGCAAAATGCTAATAACGTGAAGTGGAAATCTCTCTACCAAATCCCTTACTCCAGTCGTCGATCCCAAATTACTAGTACAGGACTCCGAATACCTAGAAACTCACCTCGTCGTTGTTCCAACAAATGTCAAAAAGGATTTCCTCAAGACTTATGAAACCATATCCCCTATGGTTGTCCCAAGATCCTCAGTGGAGGTTACCCACGATGATGAATTCACATTGTTTGCGGTTACAACATTCAAAAAGTACAGCGCAGAATTTCAACACAAATGCAGAGAAAATAAATGGACTCCCCGCGATTACAAGTATGTAGAGGGTGGGCAGGAACAGGAAAAAAAGGAGGCCGAGCGAGTTGAAAAGGATGAGCGCAAGGTATGGGGTGAAGCTTTAAGGCTTAGTAGAACTGGCTGGAGTGAAGCTGTTATGATATGGATACATGTCTTAACTTTGAGGGTATTTGTTGAGACAGTCTTGAGATATGGATTACCTCTGGATTTCGTCTGTGGTCTGGTCAAGGTATGAATGCTAAGCCTAAGCTCTGTCAATTTTTACTAATTCCTCCCAGTCAAACCTTAAAGGAGCAAAGAAAGCGAAAACAGCCCTCGATTCAGCATATGGTTACCTCGGAGGTAATGCTTTTGGTCGAGACAAGAAAGGAAAGGCTCTAAAAGATGATTCAGCACTATCATCGGAGATCGCTGCTGCTGGAGTTGGCGGACAAGAAGGCAATGAATACACGGCCTATGTCTATTATGAATTCGAAATAATTTAGATAGCATTGGGAGTTATATGAATATGGCGAGTGAAAGTTGGCGCATGACAATGGTTTCATATTTGTTGAAGCATGCATTTGTATTATTGTATCGTATTAAGAGATATCAACAAAGCAATTATTTCTAAATCGATCCAAGTTTTACATCGTTGAATTCTATCATTTCTAGTATTTTTGTGAAATATTCCTCCCAAACCCCGAAATGTCCTAACCCAAGGTATCTCTATATCTACAACTTCAACAAATTCTCCTTCTCCAAGTACTCCACAATTTTTTGCACACACTCCTCCACGCTCAGTTTATCCGTCCTCAAATGGATCTCTGCCTTCTCAGGCTCTTCATATGGCGCACTAATTCCGGTGAATTCCTTAATCTCCCCCGCTCTAGCCTTCTTATACAATCCCTTTGGATCTCTCTTCTCAGCCTCCTCAACCGGAATATCAATAAAAACCTCAATAAACGGAATCGCCTCATCTCCATTCGCAGCCTTCTCATGCAATTCCCTCGCAACCGCGCGATCCGCCTTGTACGGAGAAATAAACGACGTCAACGCAATCGTACAGCTATCCGCGAACAACTTTGCGACTTCGGCAATCCGACGAATATTCTCGTTGCGGGATTTCTCATCAAACCCAAGATCTTTGTTGAGTCCAAATCGTACATTGTCACCGTCGAGACGGTAGGCTGCGTGCCCGAGGTGCAGGAGATGTTGCTCGAGGGCTGTGGCTATGGTGGATTTTCCGGAGGCGGAGAGTCCTGTAAACCAGATTGTCATGCCGCGTTGTTTGCGGAGGGTGGTGCGCTCGGCGCGGGTGAGGGATGGGTGCCAGGTAATATTTCTGTGGGAGGTTGTTAGTATTTTGTTCAGGGCTGTTTTCGTATCTTTCTGTTCGTGCCCAAACGTAGGAAGTGATTAGATAGTAAACGCAAAGAAGAGAACATACGTAGCCATCTTGAGGATTTTGTGTGAGGAAATGAGGGTAGGTTTGAGACAGTCGGGTCGGGATAGAAGTGAAAGAATAAAGAAGAGAGCAGAGGACAATCACGCAATCGAAATCAATGGATCGCCGCCAGTAACAAGATCAAGAGTCTCCCCTTATTTAACCCGCTACCGGTGCACTATAATTTTCTGCCCCGCACTACACATAAAGTTGACAAATGCGTGAGAATGTTACCGTTACTACATGGTGGGGGTATTGAATCACGTGTTTCGATCTCGACTACATTTCAGCGGAAAGTAATTTTTTACTCACACTTGTTACAAGGTGTTGAAGATGGGCGAACGGAGGGATGCATGTCATGTTTGGGACTGGGAATTGGAAGCTGGTGTTTGCATGAAATATGGTCATGAAATTATATTGTTCTATTCTAGTAGTCTAGTAATATCTAGATCTCACACTTGTCTAATCTTATATCCAGACCTAGAATACTTAACCTTTACGTGAATCCGCTTTCTATATTGACATTTTCGTCTCTTCTGTCCTTGGACTGAGAATGCGTCTTCCAACATTTTATGTAGCCGGGTATATTCTAGCCATCATCTAAAACCTCATTAGCATTCATGACAACACTATTACAGCCTTTCAAACTCACCTTGGCTTGTCTAGGTTCAATAAAGAGGGCACTCCCCTCACATAGAACTTTCGGCGTCTCACCCTCCCCAACTAAAGTCTCAATTCTTCCCTCAACCCAAGCCTTTCTTCCTTCTACTTTTGTAGTCTCCGCTCTCAATACAACAAATGTTTTCGCAGGCGTGGGAGCCCTATAATTGACCGTCAAAGTAGCCGTCATACCAATCCTATTTGGCAATGCTCCAAAACAACATCGTCCTAACCCCTCATCTAGCATTGTAGCTAGAAATCCTCCATGTACAATGGTTGGATGTCCACATAGATCTTCTCCCAGGTAGGAGATTGACACGAGGGATTTACCTCCTGCTTCAGTCCATACATATGGTGGCACTTGAACACGTCCAGATCCCATCAATGTTCCACCTGTAAGATTGTGTCCTCTTTGTGATTCAGGGATTTTCAAATGTGGTCTTGATTCTGTAATCTCAGGTCGAGATCGTAGTTCTTTTACGAGTGGATGATTATTTATGTATGCTTCGACTTCTAGAGATTTCGCATCGGTTGGTGTGTATAATTTGATCGATTCCTCATCGGACGGAGGATTGAGTATGGAATTGGCTGCCTTGAAAGCTGGATAGGCAGCTATTGAGAAGCCTACGGATGTGAAGACAATGGCTATTCCAAAGAAAGTGAGAGTTCGTAAAAGAAAAGAGGGTTGCGGAGGTGGAGGAATAGTAGCTGTAGTGTAAGGTTAGCTAAATCTTTTGAAGAGAGAGTGGGAAAGTGCCTACTCTCCGCATTACATAATCGACGAGCTGCAGTAAACGTTCTAGAAAAAGAGAATAGAGGCGTATTCCTCAAAGCTGCTCCACGGCATTGTGCAATTCCTGAAGTGTGATTTACAGCTCGATATATTCCAGCCCGAGGCTGTAAAAGTTGACGAGAGACAGACATCTGAAGTTATAATAATTTAACGACTATGATCTTCGCATGCTGATACAGAAAGAGAATGGCAAAATGCAAGTGAAACTTCTTAGACTGAACGACAACTACTATGCAGCGCAAACCAGCCGAGGATCAATGATTCCGACTTGACCCCACAAAATTCGGGGATTCTGTTTTACCGAAATCTTATCTTATCTTGCCAGATGCCAGAACTAACCTTTAAATTCAAGAGCTAGCTCTCCACACTAGTGAATTAGATACGTATTGAATATTTCGTACCTGCTTTAGTTTGAAGTAGAGTTGATTGATATCTTTGATGATGTCAAGCCCTAAGCGGTGCTAGAATTAGACATTTACCCTATTCCACCTTGTGAATGGACAATATGGTAAGATCTTACTTACACTGTAGAAAATTCCAATCACGCTATGCTCAACGACGTCACCTCGTGTCCATAAACAACTCAAAATAGAGCTTCATTTTGAACTTCGTTCTGTACATTTAAAAGAGGGCTCTCACTAATTGTCACCCAATCATACTCATCATGTGTGCATTCTGGCACGCCGAGCAGTGTACAGCCAAGCAGGCCAACACCTGTTTTGAATGATGCATAGGTCAATGATAAACAACAAAGCCCCTCATTTATGCGGTTCCAGCTACCCCTGTTTGACTTTAAACCACCACTGAACCAACAACTTATAAAATGAGACCCCTCTTTCCACCAACGGATCATTTCATTCTGATGTATTCACTTCAGCTTCACAACAGTATTGTATGCATCTGACTTGTGCTCTAACTCACAAATACCTTCCACATCTTGCAAAAATACAGTCCTTAACAGGCGCAACATCGAATTCATCAAATCAAACAAGACAATCAAACAGCTGATCATTTATCATGGCTACTGCGGAAACCGTCCAACTTGGTCCAATACATGCACCAAAAGAAGACAGCATCATCGCCTTCAACAAGATCGAAATCGAACTCAAGAAAAAGCTTCAACATCTCCGTCACGAAACGAATAGTTCGTCCTCTCCCCTCTCCTCTAGCCACAATTCTAACCACAACTCTGAAACTAACCATTAACCCACCTTGCAGAACACGAACCTCAATATTTCGCCCCTATATCCCACATCTCAGACCACACCCTCACCTCTTTCGACTCCTCCTCCCTAAAGTACGTCCGCGTAGCTAACAGCGCCTATGGATTGCACCTCCTAGGCAAAGTCCTCGTTCCCGAAACAGAAGACAAATATTTCATGTTCCGTGCTTTTATTCCTGGAGATTCTGATACCGCAAAGCTTCATTGTATTCATATGGAGGAGAAGGACGTTGGAGGCGAGGAGGGAAAGATGTTTAGGGCTATTTTCGAGGAGAATGACGAATTGGATTGGTTTGATGAGTAGAGACAGGAGATGGATGATATTGACACGTTTGGATTAAGGATTATTATGGATAAGGGGTTTATGGACCTACAATGAACAACAATAATCGAGACAATCAAGGTGTAGAGGTTCTATTTCTGCGAACCTCCTTCCGAGGTTTTATTTGAGATTAGGATGTTTCACTCAATCACCACGCTTCTTCTAATGATATTTTGACACGGGTATAACTGTTTTAATTCATCTCAAAAATACTCATACTGACTACAGCCAACATCTTCACATAGCTCTCGTGGCGGTATACACGAGCATTTTGTAGCACTCCTCAGATCTCCAACATTACTCTTTTATTTTCCCTTTCCCATACCCATATCCTCATCTCCATCATTATCCAGCATAGCCGCATAATCATCTGCACTAGCGAATGTAGGAAGATTCTTAAGCTTTCTCCTCTTGCTCCTGCTAGTCTCTTTCTTCTCTTCTTCCTCCTCAGGACTCTTTGCTCTCTGTAATTCGGCTTCGAATAATGCATCCATATCTGATCCTGCTTCATCATCACTGTCCTTAAGGTCATCGCCTTCTTCAGAGAAGATTCCCTCTTCATCATCTTCCTCGTCATCTTTCATATTTTCATCTTCGTCCCCTCCTTCAATGCCAACTTCCTCATCTGATCCTTCAATATCAACACCACCTGCAGAATCGTCCTCGGACATATCGAAATCACCCATGTCCAAATCATCATCATCAGACTCTGGACCCTCGATATCTGGCTTACTTTCGACCAAAGCTTGCCAAATCTCATCCTCATCTTCATCCTCATCATCTTCTCCTTCTTCGCCCTTCTTCTTCTCCTTCTTCTTTGCTGCGTCTTTGCCTTTACCGATTTGGTTAAAGTATTTGTGGAAAAAGACTTCATCAACTGCGACATCCTCTGCCTTCTTTCTCCAGAATGCTTCTGAATTGACGGATTGTTGAACCTTAGAACCACGATTGGATACAAGAATACCTTGACTTGCTCCACCAGCAAGAGGTTGCATAAGGGAGCTTCCTTTTGGTGCCCCAGCTGCTGCTTTTGCGTTTCTGTAGACAAAACGATCTAAGAAATGGGCCAAGGTGTGAGAAGCAAGATCTGGTTTAGGTGGCATTTTTTCGTCATTGAGAAGGCGGTCGACAAATAGAGATACTGAGGGATGGAAATGTACCAAGAAAGGAATCTATAGTTGTTAGTGCGGCTCCCTTACTCTATGAAGAAATACTTACAATTTCCCACAGACAACTCTTGTCGGCATTACTGTGCTCCGGATCCCTCTTCTTTCCATCGTATGTATCTGCCTTGAGTTTCGCTGTGGGTTCTGTGGCTTGAATTTCTACGGTTTCTCCATCTTCTGGCACATCTCGGTATACTTCTTCTTCATCTTCATCATTTGCCTCGGGATCTTTTAAAAGAGACTTGAGCCCAGGGAATGTAACCTCTAACTCTCTCATCAAATAGATGATACCACATATGAATGGAGGTTGATGAAGGGTTACAATTTGTAACATTCTCTTTGCGAAAGCCTTGACGCGCTTGATGTTAACATCCGCTTTCAAAGCTCTGTAGAGCAAGTTAAGATATAGGGCATGCTTCGAAGATGTAATCAGACGAGGATCGAGTAAGGATTCGTAAAGAGTTCTGTAAAATCGGTCCACAGCAAGGTGTTTTGTTGTTGATAATTGCTCAATCAACATCAAAGCTTGAATACTGGTATTGAAATTGGATGAATGTGTGATTCGGAACAAGGTATCCATGTGTTTCTCAAGCCTAACCTAGTTAGCATTGTCAAAAGCTAATAAAATAATTGAACTTACGTCAAGTCGTCCGTCTTTGTGAATGGGAATGCACGATTGACACCGGTCAAAACAGCGGAGATCATTTTCTCTGTTGTCTCCTCGCTTGCCTGTTTTGCCTCCTCTTCTGCTGTCAACTTTTCCTTTGCCTTCTTTCCCATAGCACCTCCACCTCCTTGAATTTCTCCTTTTTTGTTGAGTTTAGGACCGGTAGGTTTGATGACTTCGGGCTTTTTGAGAAGAGATACGAAAAGACCAAAATATATGCTTAGAAGCTTTTTCGCAACCTCTTCTTCTTTTGAACTAAGAATTGTTTGATTGAGAGTATTAATCGCGTAATATTTGGCATGTGAACTCTGTCCAGGTCTTAAAATGAGCTCGTTTTCTATCGAGTTAATGATGATCGGTTTCATCAATGGGTGAGAGGTTTGAAGTTGTAGTAGAAGGTATGATGATCGTGAAGCAATCTTTTTATCTGGATCACCGAGTTTGTTGACCAATAATCGTAGTAAATTAGATTCCTGTTCTGGTTTCTCCTTTAACAGTTCATAAACGTAGGTAACAGCTCTTGAACGAGCATATTCTACCTCATCGTTGCACCATACTTCCAAAATCTTGAGCATATCAAAATATGACTCCTTGAGCCAATCTTCAAATGCCCATGAAATAAGATGCGCTTTGGTCATGTTTCCGGGTAGGGGCTGTCCAGATCTCCAGACACCAGTATCGCTTTCTTGTAACGTACCAAGAAGTCCAGGTTGAGAAGGAAATGTTCGAAGACGTCTATCCGCAGGAAGCATAACACCAGCTCCCAATAAATCTTTCATAGCACCCAATGCTGTCACGGCTTGTCCCCTACTTCGCTTCTTCGCCAAATCCAATAAACTTTCGAATGATCTCGTAGTATGAACTGGAGATTCCTGAACAACCAAAGTTAACGCGGAAATTTTGTCGGATAATGTACCAGAGGACATGATCGTGGCAAGAAAACGATGTGAAGAAGTCGCAGAAAGATGTTTTGAGGCATAGAGTGTACTATCCGCCTCAAGAAGGGTCGTGGCATATTCCTTGAGATTTTTTATCGATTCTTGGTATGGTCTTGACTCGCTGAAATCTCCTGTAGAAAGTTGGGGGAGCTCTGCGGCATGCCAATCTGCTCGGGCTTCAAAATTCTATAATCGGTCAGTGGACTCAAAATAGAGAGAGGGAGCTACTCACCAGGCGATTTTGATCCTTCGAAGGTTCTTTAGCTTTGACCGCAGCTTTCTCTGGCACTTTAGGAGCCTCCTCCTCTGTACTTTCTTCTGATTCTGATGCTGATGCAGATGCCTCCTCCCAATCGTCGCCATCTACTTCCTCTACCTCATCCTCAACTTCTGAATCTGCCTCAGCTCCAGGAGCTTGTCCCTCGATTCCAAGCCCTGCCACAAATTTAGCAACCTCATTCTTGAAACCTTTGTCGATAGATGCTGGTTTTCCTTCGTCTTCATTCTCAGAGTCGGATTGAGCGTCAAGTACAAGATCTAAGTCTTCTTCTGTTCCTCCCAATGCCAATATTTCCTGTAATAAGACCTCTCTATCACTTCTTGACTTTGGCACTTCGTTGGATGATCCATCTGCTTTGCCCTTTGCATTGCCTTGCGCATCTCTCTTCGTTCCTCGACCGGATTCTTGTGGTTTAGATTTTGGTTTTGAGTCTGTAGAATTTGTCGACTTATTCGCTTTGTTTTGCTTAGAGGATTTGGGTTCCGATTCAGCAGATTTGTTTGGTGCTTTGCCTTTTGCGAATCCCTTCTCAATTTTTGAAGTTAATGCCGATAGAGCATTTTCGTCGAAAGAGGGGATATCCTCATCTGGTTTTGGTACAACCTTTGCGCCAGGAGTTTTAGTGGGCTTTCGATGTTTTCCCATTTTGAATTAGGATCCTCAAGTAGTTGATAATAAGAGGATGAATGCTCAATTGGGTTCCTTGGAAATAAAATAGACTAAGAAAATGTCATGAAGCACTCATTGAAGCTTTGATAAGATACAAAACTTTTTTTTTGCAAAACAAAACAACCCGGAATAAAGATTTTCCGACATTAACCTTAGAACCTTCTCCCCTTGTACTGTGAGTTTTCATTTGTTTGGTGACTCGTTTTTATGCTTAATTCAATTGAGGAGCAATATGAATTGAAAGGATATTGTTTTTATGGTAGGTATGAAGTTATAACATTTGTTCATCTTTAAATAAAAGAGCTTCACTTGAACTTGTTCTGAGAGTCAAACGTGGATATTTCAACATGCGTCCCCTTCGAAGTATTTCTCGGTTTGGAGCATCTTCTATAAACACCCAGAGCTTATGTCGAAGTATGATATTATCATCACAACTTTTGAAGCTTCCCTATTCTCGAAATCACTCAAATATTTCTTCCAAGGTAAGTTTATTACCGGACCATTCTCAATCACGTGGATATATCACTGATTAATTGCAATGGTAGACAGATGATCGGGCAAGGTTGTCTAAATATTGGATACCTACGGGTGGTATAGCTGCAAGTGTAGATGAAGGTGAGATGCACAGAGAGGTTCCTCAAATCTCAAAAGACTGATTCGTAACAGACTCTCATGCAAAACTCATCCGAGGGGGTTTCTTACGTCAGGTTCGTTTTGGTAACTTCTACTTTACGAAACAAGTTCTGACACATTTCATGGCTAGGCCCATACGGGTATCTTCCATATGTTACCACTAGGCAGGAGAGTTCAAGATAAATTAGAAGCCCTCATTGATAAACATATGTCAACCTTAGGTTAGCATTCCCTGACTTCTTTTTGACCATGGCTGCTAATATTACCTGGAAGGTGCATCAAAACTTGCTCTGTCTTCACTCTCATCTGAAGAACTTTGGGCTAAAAGTGGCCGTCTGGATGCCAGTTCTGAGGTATCTATCTACACATCAAAATATCCTGTTATCATATTTTTAACACTCATCATTAGCTATTCAGACTGAAAGATCGCAAAGAGGCAGGATACCTTCTTGCACCAACACACGAGGAAGAAATTACGGAATTAGTTTCGAACTCGGTCCAATCATACAGAGAACTTCCTGTTCGTTTATACCAAATCAGTTTGTTCAAACCTGCCACCTTTTCTACTATTTTCTCATCCCTCTTTAGCTCGAAAGTATCGTGATGAGTTACGACCAAGGCAAGGCCTTCTTCGTTCCCGAGAATTTGTCATGAAAGATCTCTACACATTTGACTATAATAGTTCTTCCGCACTTTCAACCTATGAAGATGTTCGCAAAGCATATCAAAACCTGTTCAATGAACTAAAAATCCCGTACCTTGTCGCTGAAGCCGATTCTGGTGACATAGGTGGCGACCTCAGTCACGAATTCCACTTTCCAACCAAGATTGGGGAAGATAATATCATTAATTGCACCGAATGCAAATACGTGGCAAATGAAGAGTTGGCGGAAACTGGAAAATTGAAAGTGGATGAGATTGATGATTTTGACGTCCATATTCAAAACACGAGTGTGGTTGCGGGATTTTCTCGCGACGGATCCACCTTAATAGCCACTTGGTTTTATTCCAAAAATGGAGAGGGATATGAGCTGAATATACGTTCAATCAAGAGCGTTATACCGGAATATGATCCTTCCAGAAAAATAGAATATCCAGAGTTGCTGCGACTTATCAACAGGGAGAATGTGACCGGAAACAAATTATTGGGTAAAAGTCACCAACCATCCATCAATCGTGTTGTCCACTTGATTGACGGACGAGTTCCTTCACAAATGTCTAAGGCGATTGTGAAGGAAAGGTTTTCTGCAGTTGCTAAAGCTAACAGCAAGACCTGGGATGACTGGTTGTCGAAGGTGGATGATACATCGTTTATTTTTCAAGATCCATCTACTGGTGAATCATTGAATTTACGGCGGATTATGGAGGGAGACATCTGCCCCAAATGCCAAGAACCGACGTTGAAAGTTGAAAAAGCCATTGAACTTGGCCATACTTTCCACCTGGGTACAAGATACAGTAAACCGATGGAAGCAACGGTTAATGTACCTTGTAATCTTGTGGAAAATAAGTCTGAAGAAATCACAGCTCTGCTCGGAGAAAATGGTCAAGTTCGGGTTCCTATGGAAATGGGATGTCATGGGATTGGTGTGACGAGGATGATTGGAGCGGTTGCTGAAACCCTTGTTGACGGGAAGGGACTGAATTGGCCCAGAGTTATGTCTCCTTTCGAAATCGTTGTGATCCCAGGTAAAGGTTCTGATGAAGGTGCCTTGCAAATCTTTGATACCTTCTCTACTGCTGCAATGGATCCAGTAATTGATGATCGAGGAGTATCAATTGCTTGGAAATTGAGAGATGCGGATTTGATTGGTTACCCGGTAATTGTTGTGCTAGGAAGGAAATGGAAGGAGGGTTTATGTGAAGTTCAGTGTAGAAGATTGGACGTCATGGAAAATGTGAAGATTGAGGATTTGAAAGATTTTGTTGGCAAGCTATTGAGTCAGCTTTGAGAGAGAAGGCCAGGGTGCTGTGGTATATTGTGTATATCTCTCCAACATATGTACTTAATGTTGCTGGCTTGTAGGACGTTGCCGAATGAAAGCATTTCAACTCTAATAGTCAGATCTTGAGAGAGCGGGGCTTGGGAGTGCTTTATCCAGGGGCTTATCCACTCTTCCATATTCTCAATATTCGAGCGTAGCATTACGGAACTGAGAACTCAGGTCCTTGGCTCCACGTAATATTTAATCTATCACCTCAACCCCGACAATGTCCCCTTTTCGCCGGGTCCATTGTCACGGAATCCCGTCTACGATTACCCGACTACTTCCAGCTGGACTTCCGACCTCCATATCTCCTAAGAAAACCACATTTTCCATCACGCAACCCCAAACCTAAAGTACGAAAATTCTTCGAAAAAGTAAGGAGGCAGGCGTTGAAGCACACCAAGAAGTCGGAATAGAGGAACTATTCAATACTCGGCTTAGTGTTATAAAAGTTACAATGCACATATATCAGGAGAAAATAAACTAATAATAATAATTAAAATAAATCTTTAATTACATTTTCATTTTTTAAATTTTAAAATATTTTTTAAAATGATAGATTTCGGAGGAATAATCAAATTTACTTTTTTTGAATAATTATTATCTCTTTATTAAAAATAATTATTAAAAATAACTTTATAATAATAATCCAAGCTCTAAATTAATATTTAAAAAGAATAAAATCTTTATATATATTTTTAAAATTTATTATTTTGAAAATTATAAATATTAATAAATATTATCAAAATATTTTTTAAATATTGAAGTTTAATCTTATTTATTATTTTATTATATTAAAATAACTTTTATATTAAAGACAACTAGTTAATAATCTAAATACCTTTAAGAATACTTAAAGCGATGAGGCCGAGGTAGCTTTTTAACCCCACGTTGATGTGGCGGTGCATGCGAGGGGTAAGGCTAATAAGAAGGTCTCGGTATCCTTCACATTCATTCTTCGTCCAAAAATGCTTCACAATAAGATATTTAGGTTCCGCCAGTAGATATTTCAAACTTGGCACGAGTTCGAATAACAATTCCTATTATGTTTTTTATGAAAGATAGTATCTTCTAAGCTCCGAGAAGCTTCTCCTTGTAATATCAGAAGCACCACCACGGATTCAAACAGCCGATACATGGATGTCCAAAAGTCACACTGCAGATAAGAGAGCACTGGATGAGTGTGTAGTCGGTGTGAGAAAAGCCAAGGGCTTACCATTTAGTGAAAGTTCTCCAGCAATTGAAATCGAAATTTCCCATATAACATGCTTTTGTCCTTTCATCCTTGTAAGATCTTATGTGGGATGTAAATTTGAGGTGGTTTGTCTCTTTTTCTCTTTCATTATTGCGTCTTGCCCGTGCGGATAACTCTCTTTAGTGGGGCAAGATACCAAGAACTTTATTGGGGTAACTCAACGGGCAGCTGGATCTTGCTTTCCCCACTGACAATATATATACAAAATATTTTCCTTTCTTCCGTTTACTGTTGCTGTTTATTGTTTCTTCCCTAATTGTTTGCTACTACCAATATGTCTTCCACTGGTGTCGAAATAACCTATCCACCTAACCACGGCGGTGAGAAAATCCCTTCATCCAGACAACCTATAAATGAGGGTTATTTGAAAGAGAAGCATGAGGAAGAAGTTCTTGGCTCCTTCTCTCCACCATATCACGATGATACAATATCCGTCAACCAGACACATGATTCTACGCATCGTCAATTGAGACCGAGACATATTCAACTGATTGGTATTGGCGGGACCATTGGAACTGCTCTTTATGTTCAGATTGGTCGTGGATTGATACATGGAGGACCAGGAAGTTTGTTCTTAGCCTTTACTATTTGGTGCGTACAACTTTTCCATTACTATTGATGAATGTGGAGATATGGGATGAGTCTCTTACACAGCGGAATGATAGGTGTACCTTCATTTTGGCGATTACAAATGTAAGTAGACCTGGTCGTCATACTTGATTTCTCTAATTTTCCCTCTACAGTGCATGGCAGAGATGGTAACTTACCTACCAATTTCATCACCCTTTATACGATTCGCTGGTAGATACGTCGATGAAGCATTCGGAGTTGCTGCGGGATACAACTTCTTCATATTCGAAGCTGCCCTTGTTCCATTCGAAATAGTAGCTTGTAACGTGATCATTCATTATTAGAGTGATGTCGTTCCTGCAGGTGGTATTATTGCTATCGTAATAGTTCTTTATGGGTATGTCGACCTGAAATCTACTAATTTTCTCACATTATTAATTTTTCAGCTTCATCAATGTCTTTGCGGTTAGATGGTATGGAGAATCAGAGTTTTATCTCGCCATGGGAAAAGTTCTGTTGATTGTTGGACTCATAGTATTTACTTTCATCACTATGATTGGTGGGAATCGTCTTCATGATCGATTCGGCTTTCGATTTTGGTCAGACCCAGGAGCATTCGCAGAATTTTATAAAACAGGATCTCTTGGTCGCTTCCTGGGGTTTCTAAATTGTCTCATTCAAGCCTCATTTACTATAGCTGGGCCAGACTATGTCTCAATGGCAGCAGGTGAAGCTCAAAATCCTAGAGTTGTAATGCCTAAAGCATTCAATGGTGTTTTCTATCGTCTTTCAGCATTTTTCGTGTTAGGAAGTTTGGCTGTGGGTATCTTGGTTCCTTATGATGACCAAGAACTCAAAGATGCCTTTACAAACGGTCTTCCTGGAGCCGCAGCTAGCCCTTATGTAGTCGCTATGAATCGACTTCGGATCAGGATCCTTCCCGATATTGTTAATGCTATGGTTCTGGGAGCAGCTTTTTCAGCAGGGAATTCTTACGTTTATTGTGCATCTAGATCACTTTTTGGTCTTGCTCTTGAAGGAAAGGCTCCCAAATTTCTTACGAAATGCACGAAGCAAGGAGTTCCAATTTACTGTGTTGGAGTTACGTTGGCTATTGCATTGTTGAGCTTTTTGCAAGTATCAAATAATGCAGCGGTTGTACTCCAATGGTTTGTTAATTTGGTTACTGCAAGTCAATTGATTAATTTCAGCGTGATGGCCTATACTTTTATTTGTGTAAGTTCACCTGATGAAGTCCTGGATCGACCATGGCTGATTTGATAATGTAGTGGAAAAGAGCATGCGATGTGCAAGGACTCGATAGAGATACTTTACCTCATAAAAGTTTCTGGCAGCCATTTAGTGCATACTATGCATTAACTGGATGTTTTGTTATGGCCTTTGTTGGCGGATATCCTGTTTTCCTTCCTGGTGTGTGAACTATTTTTTCTACCTCCTAATATCACTCTAGTCACTCCCACTGCACTAGAATTCTCCTTGTTACCTTTCGATTCGAGCTCACTGACCTTCATGATAGGCTCCTGGGATATTCCAACTTTTCTCTTTTCTTATGCAATGATTGGTGTTTTTCCAATCATCTTCATCGGGTGGAAAGTGGTCAAGAAAACAAAATGGTTAAAACCACATGAGGTGATTTTAAGAACACAAGAGGTGGAAGAAATTGAAGAGTATACGAGGAATTATCTTGAGAGACCTCCTAAAACAAGATGGCATGGTTATGTGGATAAAATCTTTGATTAGTGGTGGAAGAGAGAGTGCAGATAGATTTAGAGAAAAATGATCAGCAATTTTCTCGATCGTTACTATGAAATGATTATGACACCAACTTGACATCGGCTTTCTCTCTATTTTGTACTGAAAACCACGGGCTACCAAGTCGAACCCTTTTTAACTATCGATTTTGTACTCAAATATATGACGTTTCAGTGTCATACCGTCACTTGTCCTCATGTTCAGATGCGATATTTGACTCCATTGTTCTTCTCTAGATGTCGAGAAATGAAGGGATATATTTGTGGGGGTAGGATTATCCGCTCCAGGGGTCTTCTAGCCTAAATCTACAGTGCTGAGGGCAGGTCAACAACCACAATGAGACACCACCTCTTTCAATCAAGAAATCCGCTGGCTATTTCTTTACCGGCTATCACGGTGGCAGATAGGTCTCTAGATAATTAGAGGTTTACACTCTTTAGAATTCTTGCTGTACATACTCGCGGAGCGGTGGTCTGTACTGGATATACTGTGAAAATGAGGTTCGTTTAATGATATAATTTGATTGGTCGAAAAGTGAATCGCGATCTGAGCATTCTGATTGGTAATAATTTGTAGAAATATTTCTTTTGGCATTATCAGTCATATACATCATATATACTGTAAAAGTGGTAGGTCGAGATACGTGCGTCCCGATAACATGTTGTAAGGAGGGAATTGGAAGAGAAAGTTGAATTAGATTATATTGTAATATATTATTTTATAAAGAAAACAGGATTTATAATGGTTTTGAGATTGGTATTATATGGGTTCAAATGTATATATATAAAAGATTGATTATCTTTAAAAGAAAAGACAAAAGCTTTTCTTTTATATCTAATTATAAAAGATTATATAATTGATTAATTAAAAACCTTTATGTATTTGATTTATAATTTCAACTTTCTTATAATATTTTAGATATATCTGATTTAAAAAAATTTTTAATTTATTTAATTTATTTAATTTATTTAAATTATTTAATAAAAAATTTAAAATATTTTTTTAAAAAATTTAATCTCTTTTTGTTTAGACTTTAATATATATTTAAGTTTAAAATAAAAACTTAAATTAAAAAAAGTTTTAAGTTAGATTTGTCTAAGATTGTAAGGCTTATATCAAGTTTTTTGTTAGATTTATTTATCGGGGTATTTACCGGGGTATTTTAGACCAATCAAATTATCAGAATCGCGACTCATTTAAACAAGTTTTTTCATTTTCCATCACTCACCGGGTAAACCTCGCGTACAGCAACGTTATAGAGTCGACAAGTCGATAATAATTTTTTGAAAAGAAATTCTTTTATTAAAATAAAAAAATAATACAGAATCGATTCTATATAAGTTTTAAATACTAATATATATATCATTAAGAAATAATTTTGTTTTCTTGATATTTCTGAAATTAAAAATATTAAAATCGAAAATCGATAGAATATTCAAATCCAGGCCAGAAATTATAAAATTGAAGAAGATGATTCTAATACTATTTTAGAAAGTAATTATACAAACGATTTTATTGAAATTGAATAGTTATTAAATTATTAAAGTTTAAAAATGGTGTATTGATTTTTTTGAGGTGATCGGGGTAGGGGACTTATAGCATGGTTTCCTCCCCAACAGAATTCTGCAACATCAATTTTAAGATTATTGGTTGGAAAAGGAGGTTTGGATGATCGAAGGGCTTGGAAAAATGAGAGGACTTTAGGATGAGTGATTGGAATTTTGGTCTTCATTTTCCAAGGAATTCCGATAGCCATTGCTTGAAAAACATAGCTAGGTTTGCAGAAAATAGTCGTAAACTAAGAAGCGGGCTCCATAATCTTATCAAACACGGATATGGCGCAAGGATCCATCGTATTACCTATGGAAAGGTCAAAACTGTCTTCGTGAGGCATGTGAAGTTGGGAGCAAACGAACCCTTCATGAAATCGGGACAGTAAACCAAGAAATCTCCTCCTTTGGCATAACGATCTGCCAAGACTCTACTGTTCACAAAATCCCAACCAAAAGCACCGGTCATAATGACAACGATACCCTTGGGTATAACTGCATTCGCTGGGTGTGCAACATAAGTTGGAAGACCGTGAATGGTAGTTTCTGTACCAGTTGGAGCCGTGGTGGTGACTCCTCCTCGAAAGCAATCCGGACAAGAAATTTTGGGAATAAATTGAGAGAGAAATCGAGTAACTTAATTGCTGGTTGAGTTGAGATTAAAGATAAATTTTTTTAGACTTACTTGCATATATAAAATACCCGATTATTGAGTATTGTGCTATGGAAGGATATTTAAAATTTGCCTATCCTGGTGTGTACTCAAATAAATGGTGAAGATAATCCATCCTTACGACGTACAATCAGCGTCAGCATTAGCATTTCGTACACGCCGCCATCGCGCTATGACTCATGGGATCCATTGAATCGAATATAGCTGTGTTGAAGAAGAGATAAGATGTATGAGATATTGGAACATCGGCGAGAGTTCTTTCCGATATTAATAACCTATGGAGTGCGAATATGAAAGGATGAAGAATGAAGAGCAAATGTACTCGAGTAGGTATTCTTGTAGCTGTAGGTGGTGTGGAGTGGTTATCATTAACCTATTAGGTATAGGTATCCTTCGAGTAAAACTATGTAGTCAGTCTTAAGATCTTATACGTATCCCCAACTAGAATCGTACTGGTGCACCTGCCATATCGTACCTAAAAGCGATAAGGTTAATGAGCAACCGTACCAAGTCGCCCTCATGCAGCCTTAAACAGATCATGTCGATGATTAGATTAGCTCGAAGGATCACCAGATCACCAGATCAGTGCTTCTGATAATTGTGTGGAGATCAAAATCGCAAAATCATGTGACCGACCATAACCTTACAGGGAAAAATAAGGCCAAAGAGCCAATCGGATATCCGGCTTGTCCTTTTCAAAGGGGTTAAAAACCTCGCAATTGCCATCTAACGTCCCATCTTATGTTCTCAAATACATCTTAGATCTATTTCTCTTCCTTACTAGACCCCCCTTTAATCAACAATTACTATCTGTGATCCGAGACTTGGCACATTACCCCAATCATCATCTCATTGACTTTTCTCCTTATCTCCAATCTCCCCACTCTTATTTCTCCCCGAGTCCATCTCCATGAATATCCCTCCGCCCGGAGATGTGCTTGAGAATGCAACCCAACCACAACAACCTGTGCGTAAACGTCGGAGAACACAATTAGCATGCAATTCATGCCGCCAGAGAAAGACGGCATGTAATGGTGATCGTCCTTCATGTTCATCATGTATAAGAAGAGGTGTTCAAGATAGTTGTTCTTATGAAGAAGCAACTGTAGGATCTAAAGCCTCTGCCAATGCTGGGTGGGTATCCTCTATCATATCTTCGGCTGTCACAGCGTCTCCCCATTATGCGGAGTGTAATCCAACTATCCATGGTCTTTGATTCTTGAACCCAATGAAGAGTGTGGGCTCCCTTCGTACATTAAATACTTTCTGTGTCATTGAAGGCATCCGAGAATATTGAGACGTTTCCAAAACAATCATCACAGTCAAGGCTACTGTCCCAGAATTATGATCTAAGGTCCAATCAGCTGATTTTGCTAATATTCAGGAAGACTTTGATTATCGATAGTTCAAAACCAAATGTCCCATTTAGAACAGTCAGTCGTTCAATCTCCTCGCCAGATGCGGCTACAGGAAATGCACCTTCTCCTGGAAATGTTGGTGGTTTGGCCATGGTTTCCGATATAGAGTCGCAAGACTCCCTCTATGGAGGATCATCAACAATTGCATTGCTATCTCAAGTTCGACAGGCAGCATCAGATCAATCATCATCGATGAATGCAACGGGTAGACCACCGCCTGATAATCCAGCTCAACCGAATGGTGATATAGAGATTCTTCATAATCAAGACTTTGCGAATTTCATTTTGCCTCCACGTCAACAGGCTGATGATTTCTTAAATTGTTATTGGGAATTCGTTCATCCAGTCTTTCCTCTCTTGGATCTTCAAGGTTTCAGTACTACCTATCAGAAATTATGGTTATCATCACCAGGAAAAGGTTTACATGGAGATGAATTGAGCGAAACAATTTTTCATGCTACCCTTAATCTAGTATTTGCTTTGGGATGTCAATATAGTAATGATGTCCCTTCGCATCGAAAATCAAACTATGCAGATGAATTCTATCGACGATCGAGAAGGTTACTGAATTTTGAGATAATGGATGCACTACAATTATCTTTGGTTCAATTATTCTTACTTACTGGAGTTTATTTGCAGTCCACTCATCATGCAAATAGATGTTGGAATATGGTTGGATTGGCTATTCGTACCGCACAAGGATTGGGTCTTAACACAGAAAACAATCTACATAGGACCAATCAATTGAATGTTGAGATCAGGCGCAGGGTATGGTATTCCTGTATTTCGCTTGACCGGTTTGTAGTTCTATTCAACTCTCAAATTTGCATAAGCTAATTGACAAAAAGATTATTAGCTATGACATTTGGTCGACCTACCATGATTAGAACTGGATCTTGGGATGTTCAGGAACCTGCTATAATTGACGACCAATATCTATCGTCAGATATCCAAGAAGTTCAACCATCAGGACTTCACTCTCGGATGTATCTATTTGTTTACTCACTCAGGCTATTCGACATTATGGATGAGATACTTTCGGAATTCTATGTCCTACAAGGTGGGAAGAGTGGAAATAATTCCAAGAATTTCGATCCTTGGTCAGTACGTGATCTGGCCAGTATATTGAGCATTAATGCGAAACTTGATGATTTCCGAGAAAGTGTTCCCAAAATACTTAAAGACGTTAGTTTGTCCGCACTTGGAAATGACTCTCTCACGCCTAATCAACTTCATTTGACGTTGCAATCAAAAGTACTACGAAGCAGGTAATAAGTTCGGAGCCTGTCACATAATACCACTCTCTAATTTCCCATCCCAGGTTCTTACTCGTTCGCATCTTACTCCTACGACCCGTACTCCTAACATCTGTCTCCAAGGAAAAGTCGAACCTGCTCGCCAAAGCTGAGCCTGGGCTGCAGAAAAACCTCGCAATTGGAGTTTGCACATCATGTGTGAAAACAGCTCACTTACTTGTGGAGACTGTCTACGAAAACCTCAACACGGAATATCGTAGCTCAGCGTGGCATACAGTTTACTGTGAGTTTCCGCAAGAAGTTCCATTTTTGGATCGTTGCTAGGCTATTAGGACTCATGGCTTCCTTCTACATAATCTCTCCATTTTCTAATAAAACTCAGTTGCTTTCGCCGCTGCGACAATCCTCCTCGCGGCACAATTATCTCCACTGATCGAAGCCAGTTTATCCACCAGCCATTCCTTCGATAAATCTTGGACATCATGTATTAAAATTCTCGAGCATCACAAAGTACAGATTCAATCAGCCGAGCGAGCTATAACGATACTGAAAGCCTTGAAAGAGAAAGTACAAGCAAGAAATCCCGAAGAAGCCGCCGCAAGCTCGAAAGGGAAAATACCAAGGGCTAATATTACAGGCACCCAAACACACACCGAAGCACAAATCCCCTACCCCCAAGTACCAACGCCTACAGATTATTCTGCCATAATGAGTGGGAGTATACCCAATGGAGGAATCGGGATAGATAATATCTCCATGTTTGATAATGGTATGCAGATAGATTCGATGAATGATGCGTGGTTTACTCAACAACTTTCCGACTTGAATTGGCTTGATTATTACCAAGTTCCGCCGTGAAGGTAAGAAGAGATGGAGAAGAACTTGACTTCCAATGGAAACTCTTTCGTTTCCGAATATTAACAGCAGGAAATTCTTCGTCTTCTGAAGGCGAAGTAGCAGCCGATGTTGGGGAATGAGACGCGGTTCTTTCCTTTTCGTCATCCCATACAGGGGTTGGAGTATTCGGACCTTTCCAGCCCTGATCATCGGCGTCATGATCGTAACGATTGAATGCATAATTGATCAACTTGTACGAATCTGATATCGGTAATTCCCAAGATATGTCGAAGAGTTCGGGATCTTTTTCATGCAATGTTGAAGGAACCAGATCACCTAATGAAAATTTCACACTCTCATTTATTTGGGCACCGGGGGCGCCATCTAAGCCTCGAATCTCCTGTAACTTGTCAATATTGAAACCATCAATATGTCATCAATATGTCAAATTAGCATACCATTGCAGAATCCTTGCTGCTGACGTTTCTCTTGTACTTGCGCATACGAAAGTGCTAATATCTCTTGCCCTTAACAATCTTCTTATAACTTTCCCATACTTCGAGAAATGTCTGTCGTGTCTTTGGGTCCATCTTGACGATTACCACCTTGTTTACACACATATCCGTGCGAAGGAGGTAGAGCTTAGCAAAATCCCTCAAGCGCTCCAGCGTCTGTGAATAGCCGATCTCAAATATGATATTTCCCTCGTCATTGGCTTCGTGATCAGCCGGTAAAAAGAAATTGATCGAGACGTCTGGGTAGAATTTTTTCCATTTCCCAGCGACTTTCCAAGCTGAGATCTGTTGACTTAAGTTTCCTTCAATGCCATGGAGTACCTTATTCTTGAAAGGGCAAGTATCTGGGGCAGCGGAAATTGTAGATTTGATGACTGTTAAAACAACATCTCGAAGCTTATCTGCTACTATGTCGTGTGCTACAGAAGGCAATCGGAAATTAAGGCTCGACGTTTCAGGAATGTACTCGTACCTGCAAATCTAACTAGCCTTGAATGATGAACAGGTAATGTAGAAGGGTAACGATGGGCTTCGTCAATGGAGGATCTATCAGAGATATACGAAGTGAACTTCGTAATAAAGTGACTTACGCTTTAAAATATGGCACTTCTAATGAAAGCTTTCTGCACTTGTTTTGAAGTACACCTTCTTCCTCTTCTTCCTCCTCTTCATTCGAAAGCCTGTCTTCTTCCTCGTTTAAAAACTGACCCTCTTCCCCCTCTCTGGCGTATTTACTATTGGCGTTTTTTGACAGCAGGTCGAGGAATCCGTCGAAATCTTTCTGCGAGATGTTGTTGAACTGCATCCACTCCTCTTCAGGTGTGGAGGCGTGTAATCTCTTGATAATGTCATAAAGTGGGCTCGACGAAGAAGCAACAACGTGCGACGATGGGGATGTGGATTTGGCAGAGAGTGATAATTCTCTGGTAGACAGGGGCGGACTCGGGAAAATAGTAAAACCAGATGGAGTAGTTCGACTGAGTGAAGATGAGAGGATGAGCTTTTACTCGTTCAACGTCATATCCCTAGATTTGGGTGAGTATCGAAAACTCGAATGAAAGGAAATGAGGCAGATAGGGACGAGGATGTTATGCATAAATCTTATCGTAGTGGATCTGTCGCTAGGATGCTGGGCCCTCCCTCTTAAGCGGCCTTATATAAGGAATCAACACCAAAGCACGTACTAAGTAATTCTACTCAATAGCTTGTATGTTACAACGGACGAAACAATATACCCGTCAGATGACAAACAAGGATTAATCATCTAATAGGTAGTCTTGTTATATGATCTGAAAGCCGACAAATCGGAATCGGTTTTGCAGTAATCGATTCGTCGGTTTTTCAATTATCGGTCTCGGGATAGTTATAAAGGTTTATTATTGTCGGCTTGCCGATACTAAAACCTTGTTGTATGTAAGGTTTATCTGGTAGGTGATAGAAAATGAGAAATTTGCTTAAGTGAGTCGCAATCCTGACAATCTGATTGGTCTAAAATACCCCGGTAAATATCCTGATAAATACCTTGGTAAATACCCCGATAAATAATCTAACAGAAAGCTTGGTATAAACTTTATAATCTTAAATAAATCTAACTTAAAACTTTTTTTAACTTAACTCAATTGAAATCATTCAAATTACTTAAATCATTCAACTCATTTAATTTAATTAAATTTTATTTATTTAATTCAACTTTATTGAAATTATTTAACTTTATTAAAATCATTTAAATCATTCAATTCAATTTTATTTATTCAATATTATTATTATTATTATTATTATTATTATTATTATTATTATTATTATTATTATTATTATTATTATTATTATTATTATTATTATTATTATTATAAATTGAATAAATTAAATTAAATAAATAGAAATGAATAAAATTGAATTGAATAAATAAAGTTAAATTGAATGATTTCAATTAAATTAAATTGAAAAAAGCTCTAAATCAGATTTGTTTTAAGATTATAAGGTTTATATCAAGTTTTTTGTTTGATTATTTACTAGAGTATTTACCGGGGTATTTTAAATCAATTAGATTGTCAGGATTACAACTCACTTAAACAAGTTTCTTATTTTCTATTATCTATTAGATAAATCTTATATATAATAAGATTATAATATTGATAAATTGATAATTAATTTCGATTCAACATTTGATTTAAGTTAAATTAATCTTATCATACTTGTTCTTTCAAATGAATTATTTTTTTATTTATTTTTTTATTATCATTTATTTTACTTTTTGTCAGTATAATACAAAAGTTATCTATTATATCAAATACCTTCAAGTTTCATCTGAAGACAATAATAAGATCTAAGATTTGATTAATTGAATAAGATACTTATTGATATATTAACAAATTTCATCAATCGATGAGTTTATAATATTAATTATATCCTCTCTTGTTATTAAATTAACAATTAAAGATCATATTAAGAAAAACTAACAATAATTCACTTTGTTAATATAAATAGTTCTTTATCATCCGATATTATAAATAAATATTCTTTATTCTTAAGATCTTTTCTTTATTATAATTTCAAATGTATATAAAATTAATTTACAAATAGTTTAAAAAAACTTTTTTAATAATTGAATCTATATTAGTATCGAGTTTGATATACAAAAGAATAATAAATCATTCATTAAACAAAATTTCTTTAATTACAAAACGTATAATATCAGTATTATATATATATAACTTTAGATTTTGTAATATATCTAAAGAAGTGTTTAATTCATTGATTGTAAATAATCCTTCATTATATTTAAAATAGACCTTAGAGATTGTTATATTCTATTCATTATAGATTAACTAATTCATTTTTATTTGATATAAGATCGCTTATGATTATATCAACTTCAAGATAAAATATCTCAATTGTAATTATATAATTCTGTTCTTTATCAAAAATACTCTTTTTAATAATATTGATATTATCCTTAATTATTTACAGATTTGTATAGAGAATATAATTGTTTTCATTATAAATATATATAATATTAATACAATCTGCTCTTTTGATCAATACTTGAAAATTCTTTACTTCTTTCAATTTATAATATTGAAGTATTGAAAACATTTAACTTTTTATAAATGATTTATTATATTTTTTAATTATATACTTAATTACAAATTTTAAAAAGTCTTTTGAAATTTGTTATTTAGATTTTAAATAAAGTTTGTCTATTGTAGTAATTAAAATAATATAGAAATTTTATTTATATATTGATTATAAAAAAGTAATAAATTTTTTTTTTTATAAATTTATTTTTATTTATTATTATAAGAGTTGTTATTTAGATTATATAAAAGTATTTTAAACTTTTAAAATGATTTATAACTAGGTGTTAAACAGGGATTTAAATAAAAATGATAATAATTTTTAATTTTTAATTAATAATAAATTATATTAAATGATTGATCTTAATTATAAAACTTTATAATAAAGAAATCCATTCCGATTATATTAATCTTTGTAGTTTTAAAGTCGATAATCAATATCGGTGTAACGATCTGGTCGAGGCAGTGGCTGTTTAAGGTTTTGTATGGTTGGTAATTGTAGGTTAAGGTTAATAATCACTGGTTATCCATTTGAAAGTGAATTCGTTACTAGATCAATTGGAATATAAATAAACTAATTGATAATTAAGTTAAGTATGAAGTTTTTAAATTATGAAACTATTCTGATTATATATTAATGAATGTTAAAAAAGCTTTGTAAAACCTTAAAGCTTCAAAAAACTTCTGGAGCTCTAAGAGTTTTCGAAGTTCCTAAGGCTCCCTGTTAGGGTTAGGGTTAGGGTTAGGGTTAGGGTTAGGGTTAGGGTTAGGGTTAGGGTTAGGGTTAGGGTTAGGGTTAGGGTTAGGGTTAGGGTTAGGGTTAGGA